ATTATGCAGACCCGCGTCGTAAAAGTGTATTCACCATCTCACCATCTACTATATAAGTACTGTTTCCGTCATGATGTACGATTACCAGCTGATTCTTTTTCATCAAATATAGCAGAGACGAGTATTTTGCATACAAGCGGCATTCAGTGTCATATTATTGAATTCGGTGGTCGCTACACCTACACTACACTTATAAGTATCAATTTTCAGTCCTTTGGATTGAAGTTAATGCTAAAACAAGTGAAATTCGACAAATTCATCAAATATTCTGAACTTGCTGCAGCCGGATCGCGAGAGTTTATCATATTCTTCACAGTTAATATAACGCTTCGTCACATCCACACGACATTATTCTAAAAAAAATACTAAATCAACGAAACAATAACGCAGTACTAAGATATTTTTGAACTAATCATTAAATACAAAGCGCTGCGAAGTGGGATGTCAGCAAATACTATGCTAGAGCATAGTAAAATAATATAAGTTTACAAATCACTTCTTGAAGACAACACTTTTTAAAAATCCAGTGTCTCCGATGTTACACATGTACAATGAATTTCTTATTTTATTTTAAAAAACTAAAAAATTCATTTTTAATTTTTTTTAACATATAAAAAATTAAATTTTAAAATTTATTTAATCTGACAAGTGATTCATGCATTGTCTCTGATTTTACGTAAGTGTGCAAAATTTCAGATTGGTTGGACAGGTAGAAGTGTTTTGAATATGAATTATAAAATTTGTAACTGACTAAATTATTTTTTACTTTTTTTTAACAAAGAAAATTAATTTTTTAATTTTTATTTTTCTGTCAACTGATTCATGCATTGTCTCCATCTTTACGCAAGTGTACAAAATTTCAGATCGATTGGGGAGGTATAGAAGTGTCTTAAATATCGATTATGAGATTTGTAGCAGACAAACAAACAAACAACAAGAAGTGAAGATAAAAATAAATTTTGTAAAAATGAACATCATCTAACAGTATGTTCTTCACCATTTAGTAATGCCCACCGTATTGTGTCACACATTATTCCGGATACGTATAAGCACTACGCTAATCGGGCGCCTGCACAGTGTACATTTATACAGACCAGCAAGCACTGCACTGGGTGCACAGCATAATTAATGAACAAATAGGAGGTAATTCCAGCCGGTAAACTTGCCGTTGGAATCGACATCGCGGCGGTAATGTGATAGGTATCAGTGATACGGTCTAGGACAGTCCCGGAACTTGTGAAGACGAACTCCGAGGAATGAGTAAATTGAGAAGAGCTATAATTAATAGAACTCTGAGGCATGAGTATAACATGGATAGAACTCTGAGGCATGAGTATAACGAGACTGGAACTCTGTGGCATGAATATAACTCTAATATGACTCTGGGGCATGAGTATAGCATGAATTTTCTTGCTATATATGCTCATATCATAATACCTCATACCACCACACCTCATACCACCACACTTCACACCACCACACCTCATACCACCACACATCATACCACCACACCTCATACCACCACACTTCACACCACCACACCTCATTCCAACACACCTCATACCACCACACCTCATACCACCACACATCATACCACCACACCTCATACCACCACACCTCATACCACCACACCTCATTCCAACACACCTCATACCAACACACCTCATACCACCACACCTCATACCACCATACCTCATACCACCACACCGCATTCCAACACACCTCATACCACCACACCTCATACCACCACACATCATACCACCACACATCATACCACCACACCTCATTCCACCACACCTCATACCACCACACCTCATACCACCACACTTCACACCACCGCACCTCATACCACCACACTTCACACCACCACACCTCATACCACCACACTTCACACCACCACACTTCACACCACCACACCTCATACCACCACACCTCATACCACCACACCTCATACCACCACACATCATACCACCACACCTCATACCACCACACCTCATTATTTCTGTTATATGTGCACATTGCACTAAATTCATATACTTACTTTTGTAAGTAACACACTTTATGTAGAGAAGGGCTCGGCCATGAACGCAATAATTCCCACTCAGTTAAACATATTTTATCAATTGAATTTTCTGAGTATGTCTGCAACTAAATGTATGGGACCGGATGAATACCCTTGTTCACCTAATACAGGGTGTTTCAGAATTAAGTAACCTTTTAATTTGTTAATAAATAAAAAACTAAGAACGTTATGAAGTTGAAACTTGTTTTATTTAAAAGAAGAACATTTTTATGGTAATATTGTATCCTAGTTTTTAAATATAATATCTTTTAAATGCCCACCACAATTGTTTTGACAAAATAGGGCTCTTCTCTTCGTTGCTTTCATAACCTTCATTAGTGTTTCTGACGAGAGTGCAAATTTTTGATATCCGCAAATTTTCGATAAAGATATTTAAATGTGTTTTTTGAAGGATCCTTGTTTTGAAATGGATCCTGTAATCACGTTGAACTTCTGTTATTGACATCGTTATTGACTGTAGCGATAATTTTTGTTCTTTCTTCTTTGCTGTAGCGAATCATGATGAAAATTTAAGGCTTGATAATTAAACACAAATTTAGCAAGCTATACAGGATAATGACGTAACTATGATACAATATTACCATGAAAAGGTTCTTCTTTTAAATAAAACAAGTTTCAACTTCATAACGTTCTTAGTTTTTTATTTATTAACAAATTAAAAGGGTTACTTAATTCTGAAACACCCTGTACTTATGCCCTAGAATTTATTGTCCCGGATATGTATCCCGAATATATGCGCCTGAATGTATCCCGCCGAATTTATACCATTAATTTATGCCCTGAAATTTACTCCTCCGAATATGTACGTCCGAAAGTATTCCTAAGAATTATTATACCTGTGAAAGTACACCCCGTATATAAAGCATCCACTATGCATGGTACCAATGAAATTAATGGTAAAAATTAGAACACAATTTTATTATGTTCTGACCCCTCTACAAATTTTCCTCTTCGCCTCAGTATGAAGCCAAAAACTTATATCTCAATATAAGATGTCTCAAGATTTACTGGTTGCACAAATACATCATTATTTTGGTAATAATGCCAGTATGATTTAAAAGAAAAGCTAGGCCATTTTATGACATGAGCTGATTTAGTTATATCAAATGATATAATATGACCAATTTTCAGCAATTCACTGAAAATTAGGCGTTGCATTTCTTATTCTTCGTTGGTAATTTGTTATTGCTAGATTATTTATTGCTAGATCTTTATTTATTATATTCTTAGTTATTGCTAGATCTTTCTGCTAGATTATTTTTCCGCAATATTCCGAGCGGAACTGGTGAAGTGTAAGTAAATGTTTTTTTTTTTTTGCGGTGAATTGATGGCTGACAATTCCACGACAGAATCAAGCTGACATATTCTGACGTCACTGCCAGCAACATTGGTACACATGCTTCATGGAGCTCCCTACTGTAAAAGAAGCTGCAGAAGCTGTCTTTTAGTTTAGCATGCAGGCAATACGTTCATGAACTAATTATACGTACAAATTTTTCCAATTTGTTAATGGGATGTTCCAGTTGTCCATGTCTCAAGCTGTTTAATCGCTTCTCACAAGTATGGAGTCAGATAGACAAAAGACAAAACCGGAAAACCGTCTGTAAATTGTGTAACAGTTTCAGCCCATGGTTTAATTCAAACATGCTTTCAGCCAAGGTGAAATCAGAAACTTAATTCATTATCAAATTCTCTCAAAGCCAGCTTCAGATATTCCAGCCCAGAGATGACTACAAAAATCACTGCAGTTGGCTCTGATATTTCTTAGCGATTGGTCAACTGATGTTTGATACTGATGATTCAGGTCCTAATCACTGAGCCCACTGATGCACCTGATGGGAAAATTGCTGCAAAGTTCGAAATTTTACTTGGTTCGGTTCTAGCTTCATTTTTACTCAATGTAAATACAAAGGACTTCAACAGTTCAATGTGTTTACTGTGAAGTCGAATCTCAAAGCATGGTACACCAGGATGTCTGCTGCAGTTCCTCCATGAAATGATCTTATAAAACAGTTGATAAAATAATTTCCTGTGCATCTATGAAGACATGCACATGTATGTACCATTTATGGTACCATGCGGTATGGTATTTGTAATACCATACGGTCATCCACGGTATGGACATAATAATGCGGTATGGTCGTAATCATGCGGTATGGTTTTTGTTATTGCTAAGTGTATCTTTGAAATTAACGTAAGAAAATTAGGCTAAGCTTTACATTCATTTGAAGTAACATTAACCACAAAGATAATGGAATTGCTTGCTTCGTTTGACATGATGATATTTTAATTAAAATAAACGCGGTGAGGGTGAACAAAGCAACAGAGCAGATCCTCCTCCAGAATCGTCTGGCTCAATATGCTTAACTTAATAACAAGTCAATCTTAACAATAAGCCCATAATTGCAGACACTAGTAACAAGATATATGAAGATTGTAAGCGCTACAGAGGTCCAGATATATTTCTTTCCTGCATAATATATTGATTGCAGGAAATATGTATTGGGACTATTCCCAAGCGTGGTAATACCTAACCCTGTTTCCGCTGCGAAAAACCAGCGGCGGTGCTGAACATATCAACTCCTGCGGGTTGTGACTTTAATGTCTTGTCACTCGCCAGTTGCCCTCTGACTGCGTTTGTGTTTGGGTGTGAGTGCCTAGCAGCGTCCATAAACGTGCAGCGCTTTAACTCTTTAAGGTATTTGCTCAAAATTCCTTATATATAATGGTACAATCTCAATCATGTATGGTACACTGGTGATGATCCTCGAATTTTTCGAGGACAAATTCATGAAGCGTGTTGAAAATAAGAAAACACATTCTAACTTTAAAATAATTAATTTATTCCCACCTTCTTTCTCAACAGTAAATCCCACAGACAGCGTAAACAGGAATATCTTACAACAGATAACGGAGCCTCTTGTCCCGTTGTGGTACTGGTAAAAGCTATGGTTTCTATCCTAAACTTCTTGCAAAACATCAAGGGTTGCTTACTACCTACAATATATTTATTATCAGGAGCTTGCAGCCTAACTTCTGTAAATATCCAAGCTTTGTTGATGCTGAAATGAGTAGCTTATCGTTCTTGTAGCAGGATTTCAGCATAGTGTTCTATTGAAAAAACTCCCGTAGCTCAAGAATTTAATTTGTTGGCAGTCTTAATCTTGACTTGCATTCTTAATCTTGAGTCTTGAGAAGACTTGGAAATTAAGACAGGTTTCGTTCATGGAGAAGTCTTCACTTTTCATGTATAAATGAACTTGGAGTGCCCATGTGGGAGTTCTTAGTAAGAACTTGTATGCAGTATTGGTATGCATGATGCCTTCAGCCGTAATGACATAATTTTCAAAGCACGTCATATGCAAATCGTTAGATGCCGTTATATTAATAACAATGATTATAACTGAAGTTAACGCTCGCCAAAGCCTTGAATTTGTACAAATAGCCTTGGTACTTATTAAATTTTTTCCATCAATACAATACATAATTCAGTTTAGCTTTTCTTTGTTTTCAACAGGTGTTCGTTTTTTCTTCAATCGCGGTTACGAAAATGAAAGTGTATGATTTGATTGAAGATTTCGGATGGGGTGCTTTCAAATATCAAGACTTCATTCCCATTGATGAATAATAACTGATTGTATTTTTCACGTATTTTCGTAAATTGACACGTATTTTCGGATAGTCATTGCTGAGTGCATACAAGGTTGTTATACCTATAATGAGCCTACTATATACGGTGAAAAATTAAGTTCAATCTAGGAGAATGAGAAACTTATTTTGTTCTATATAATAAAGTTTAGGGAGTTATGCTTCGCTCAAATTTTTATTTCGTTCCTTGCTTTGCATTTTTATTAGACTGAAATGTCCGACCGATACATATTTTTGTGCTTCGAGGATCGAGATCGTGACTGTCAGCCATCGAATAAGTGACTGTCAGGGATCGAATAAGTGACTGTCAGGGCCGAATAGGTGACTGTCACGGACGAATAAGTGACTGTCTGGGCCGAATAAGTGACTTTCATGGATCGAATAAGTAAGTGGCTGTCACAGTGTCACGTGAACAGGGCAGTTTTTTTCGCCCTATGGCAGCTCTCAGGATGATTAAAAAATGCAGGGTTTGACGCTCATTGCGATCGACACTGCAGCCGACGCTACACGATACGCTACGCGTGCTGTAAGTTAAAGAGGCCCCGAGACTACTTTATCTTCTGAGAAATCTTGTCTAAAATGCGGAAACTTTAGTTCTGTCGGGCAATAGTGGTGACATCGTCCTGTGTCTGGTTTGCAGGTTGCTTGAGCCACTTTATTGTGCCGCATACGACCTGCAGGCTGCTTGAGCCACTTTCATACTTGTCCGTATACGACCTGCTGGAGCTATGTGGCTTGGCCGGATTTGTCCAGCTGGTCGTATGAGGCCAATATGTAGCCCTGGCCGGATTTATCCCGCTTGCTGAATGCGGCCGGTATGTGGCCCTGGCCGGATATGTTCCGCTGGCCGAATGCGGCCACTATGTGGCTCTGGCCGGATTTGTCCAGCTGGCTGTATGAGGCCACTGGCCGGATACATTGGACGGATTTATCCCGCCAATTTACTCCCGGATTTATTGGCCGGTATTATGGCCGGATTCATCCCGCTTGCTGAATGCAGCCGCTATGTGGCCCTGGCCGGATTTATCCCGCTGGCCGTATGCGGCCACAATGTGGCCCTAGCCGGATTAATTTGCGGCCTTCAGGTTATGGACATGTACATGAGTCCCGATGGCCGAATGTAGCACGCTAACCCTATGTTACCCACTGGCCACATGTTGGTAAGGTCGGTATGAATTGAATATTATATGGGTATTTTGTATTGCGTATTATATTGTGTTAATGTAGCCTGACTTGCAGGAGGGACTCCACAAGCCGCGCGACGACTGCCTAGTAAGATGCGTGACGTCATGGGCTCATGGCTGCTGGTGTGTGCGGTTGTTGTCGCGCAGCTGGCAACTGTCAACTCGCAGGGCACTGGTGAGATATAATCATGCATGTTCAATTATTAAATACATTAATTATGTTGATCAAGTCACACAAATAATACTATGTACCTAGGAAAAAACTTTGTACTTAAGTTCAATCACGTTTGTTTTTCTCAATTGTGAAAATAATTTCACCCGACAAAATTGCTCAGAAATGGTACTACACTCGAGGTATGGTCATACATGAATTCGATGAATACATGATGAATTACGATGAAGGATTGCCAATGGCCATAAATGATAATTTTTCTATAAAATCATCACAGCGTGTGCTGAAAATAGACGACAACCTAAATCGATAGCAAAAGGTCCTTTCAAAACTGGCCTAAGAACAGGTAGCAGCCAATGCACACGTAGCATCCAAAATTTGTGTGTTTAGCTTGAAAAGATGACAGTGATTGGCTCACGGAGTTACGAACGCATACTATTTTACTATTTATGATAGTACGGCTCCTGGACATTTACCTCTCGCGCGCAGCTGTGATCCGGACGCGTGGCAAGCCCGGGGATCCGTGTGAATTTGCTGACGGTGTTGTGGGCGAGTGCACGGAACTGCGCGCTTGTCGCGCCTCAGGCGGCGTGATCAGGCGCCTGAGCACCACCACGAGGGGCGCCGCCGCATCGGTCTGCTCCAGCTCCTCTACTGGCGTCTACATCTGCTGCAGGCGGCCGCACATCATCGCCGAAAACAGTGAGTTCATCTCAAGCACGACAGAGCAGGAATGTCCTATTTGGAGACGATATTCCTAGCGCCAGCCCGGCGCAGTATTTAGCCTTGATGTACCTCCGACTCTAATCAGCTAAACCCCAGCTATGAATTAAGTCTGTCAGAGTGCGGTATCAAGTCAGTCTGACCTCTCAATGATGAAGATTTGATTTTTTTTTACAATTTATCGCTAGAACAGCTTTGCCTCTACTCGTAAGGTGATTATTTATCAATTTATTGGGACTTATTGATATGTATCCTGATATATAATATTGGGACTTATGATATGTATCCTGATATATTGATATTAACACATGCAGCGTCAATTCTTACTTAGCAACTCCCGCCCCTTAGTTGCTTCCCAGCCTTAATTCGTTGCATTGTGTACCGTTGACCCACTTCTTGTAGTGTGTCCCGTTGACCCACTTCTTGTAGTGTGTACCGTTGACCCACTTCTTGCATTGTGTAACGTTGACCCACTTCTTGCAGTGTATACCGTTGACCCACTTCTTGTAGTGTGTACTGTTGACCCACTTCTTGCATTGTGTACCGTTGACCCACTTCTTGCCGTGTGTACCGTTGACCCACTTCTTGCAGTCTGTACCTTTGACCCACTTCTTGCAATGTGTCCCGTTGACCCACTTCTTGCAGTGTGTACCTTTGACCCACTTGCAGTGTGTACCTTTGACCCACTTCTAGCAGTGTGTACCTTTGACCCACTTCTAGCAGTGTGTACCTTTGACCCACTTCTTGCAGTGTGTTCCGTGTGGTCGCGCTACTGGAGCGCCGCCTCTCGCACCTTCAACAACACGTGCGTGACTCAGCGACCGCTTATCTACGACGGGGAGGAGGCCATCTTGGGGGAGTTCCCCAACATGGTGGGTGATGGGGACCCAACATGGTGGGTGATGGGGACCAACATGGTGGGTGATGGAGGCCTAACATGGTGGGTGATGGGGACCCAACATGGTGGGTGATGGGGATTGATGGGGACCAACATGGTGGGTGATGGGGACCCAACATGGTGGGTGATGGGGACCAACATGGTGGGTGATGGGGACCAACATGGTGGGTGATGGCGACCAACATGGTGGGTGATGGGGACCCACATGGCGGGTGATGGGGACCAACATGGTGGGTGATAGGGAGTTCCCAGATATGGTGGGTGCTGCATGGAAAGTTTAACTTACATCATGGGTGCTACAAGATTTCCTCGATGCAGTTTCTAAAATTGCGAGTGCGGGGTAAAATCCCCCACATGATGGGTGCTAAGAGAGTTCCCAAACATGATGGATGCCTGGGAATTTCCCCAAAGCAATATGTGATGAGGAAGCTCCCAAACACGCCGATACTGACGAGTCCACCAACATTGTGGGTGTTGGAGGAGTTCGCAATCTTAACATCAAACGCTTCATCAGCAAAATGGATGTACAATAAGTCATTGCTAAACAATTGATTCCATTTAATTGAAGAACGAATTAACTCTTAGTTGCAAAAGATGACTAAAACTTCTATGGCTATTTATAACGATGTTGTGATAACAATGGGATTTTTGAAGTGGTGAAATGTAATGATTAAATTAAAACGCACTGTGACTTGTGATGCATTAAGAACAACTATGGTGCGCACGCTAGTTTACCTATTTAATACCAAGGTGTCCGCAGGTTTCCTTGGGCAAGTGGGAAGACGGCCAGCGAAAGTGGCAGTGTGGCGGCACACTCATCACGCCATTTTTCGTCCTCACGGCCGCCCACTGTATCAGGTGAGTCTGTGCGTAGCTAAAGTTGGTGGATAAGGTTCCTTAACTGAAGGCCTGACAAGTTAGTGATCTGCCGTCAGCCGAATGAGTTATAAAACCGTGAGCATTCATCGAGATTAGAATCCAACTTAGTGAATATATAAATGCCATTAGAATCGAACACAGCATGTAAGAAAACATTCGGAAAGAGACGCCGACCAATTAATCCGTGTGTATAGTGTGTTGTTAGGTGAAGCGATGATGGCAAGTGAGACTTCCCTCACCCACCTACCATCTCTTCCCTCCTCCTCCTCAGTTCGGACCATGTGGTCACGCTGGGGGAGCACGACAGGTCCGCGCCAGGGACCGGAGTGCTGCCTCGTCTCGACCTGGGCTTCCCACCGGGACTGTGGGGGGAGGAACGCTTCCGTTTCAACGCCGTCCCGCACACCAGCATCGAGCAAATGATCAACGTGAGTCAGCATGTCAGGGGGTTCTTCGTTTACCAATGTAGCTGAGTGGCAGCGCCGCAGCGGCACCGAAATGAGAAAAGGTAGCCATTAGATCGAGTCCAGGAAAAATCAGTTCATTTCTCGGCTTCGCTGGCGGGCATTTGTTGGTAGCCGTCGTGGACGGTGCTTCAGCATGGCCTTGATTGGTCCCTCAAAATAAATTCCGGGTAGATGTTACCTGGTGAGATCATGAGATCACCGTATCTGAGGGCGTTTCCGAACATCAGGATTGTGTCAGTGTACCAAGAGGTTCTTCAGTGTAGCTGTGGAAAGAGAATCAGTGAGTCTTTGGGTATGAATGCATGTCACTGTTCCTGTGCACCTGTTAGAACGTTAGTTTTCCAGATTTAGTGTGATCACATTTTCAGATATCACAAATATGTTCCAGTAAGTGAGATTAGTGATGTGCTGAGTGACATAGCAAGACGTTAGCTTAGCTCCGTTACCGTTCAGAAATAGACGCAATTCTATAATTGCTGGAAGTCCTACTCGCGAAGTCACTCAATCAAGACATGGACGCACTTCAGCGAAGAACGCAATCGATTTAAGAGCAGCAATACTTTCAGTATAGTTATAATTAGAGATAATAAAACCATTGGTGAGAAATATAACTGAAACGTATGCTCATTTTTTTGAAACAGAGTTAGTTAAAGTCTTTATATATTGAAGCGTGGTGCACAGTGAGTTATTGAAACTAAAAAAATATGTTTAAAGTTTCTGACACTTTCATCGGTGCAAAGTATAACTTGCGTTTTATTAGAACGTATGCTCTGGTTCTCTCAAAGGTAATAAATCAGGATAAACTTCTAAATTTTATGATAAAGGTTGATCACCACATTAAGTGTAACTTCTTACCGTGCGCATAACCATGTGTGGTCATAAGACTAACGACTGTGCTGGGCAGGTCACGGAGGTGTTCGTGTATCCGGAATACCAATCCCGCTATCATGACATCGCCCTACTCAAGCTCCAGTATCCGGTGAGTCCTGCGTTGCTGCAGGATGCTTGTCCCTACTATTTTTATTTGGAGCAGCGAGTTGCGAGTTCGAGACCGCAACACTCTGTGAATGTTCTGCTATGTTAGGAATCGGCGACAGGCCTACGGCCTAATAAGCGCTGAATCCGTTATTACTATTTCTGTACGAACGATTTTACTTATATGCTTACTTGCAGTGTAGGATTTACTAGGAAAATAGTTGTAGACTGTATAATTATTTGGCTAATGTTATGACCTACCACATCAATTATTACAATTGCTTCTTTGATTGGTGAAAATTTAGATGAAATATTTATCACTCCACAAATATTTCCTATTGTCCCTCTTCAAACGGCGGTGCAGTTGATGGATTTTGTCAATAATAACTTACCATGCAATGAAATATTATGATTTAAAATTTTGTAATACACAACTTATTTTCTAGTGCTCGTATCTAACTTCCTGTAGGCGACGCTGACGGCTCGCGTCTTGCCGTCATGTCTGCCGAACTCGAGGGTACAACACTTCGACACCAGCGTCTCGTTCATCGTGGCGGGGTGGGGCGCTGTTACACGTGAGTTACCTCGATGCCAGTGGCAGGGTGGGCGCTGTTACACGTGAGTTACCTCGATGCAGTGGCAGGGTGGGGCGCTGTTACACGTGAGTTACCTCGATGCAGTGGCAGGGTGGGGCGCTGTTACACGTGAGTTACCTCGATGCCAGTGGCAGGGTGGGGCGCTGTTACACGTGAGTTACCTCGATGCCAGTGGCGGGGTGGGGCGCTGTTACACGTGAGTTACCTCGATGCAGTGGCGAGGTGGGGCGCTATGCAACAGTTTGATTTTACATACTTGAAAACTTTCTAGAGGACTGTTAAATAGATCTAGCCTACTGCATTTTAATTTGGCGCTAATCTAAATAAAATTTTGCAACTTATTCGATTTATATTATTAATATTTTTTGTGTTATTCATTACGTAAACCATTATCTATTTCGTAATGTCAATCAATGATGGTCGGCGAATACCTAATAAGTTCATTTTTCATGTCAATATTCATTGCGACATGTTACAGGCTAAAAAATAACTTGAGTTGAGTTGAACCGTTAGTGAAATTTTACATTTGGAAACCGCTTCATGATCATCCAATAAATTGCGTTGATCACTTTTCTAGTTTAAAATGCTTGAAACATTTACAATGTCTGGACTCAGAACTAAAGAAAAGTGAAGTATGATACTATTAAACCTATATGATTGATAAAATAGTCAAAATATATTGAAAAGGAGATTGTTATATCAATATATAGGCGGGTAGCAGTACATCAACTTATAACCAAATTGGGATTATTATATTAAATTTCCGATATATTGTGACAGGAACGAATAACATATTCATAACTACGCTAAAATATTATAATAACTTATGAAACATATACTTTAATGATATTACGTCATATCCCTAAATAATATCCTACTCCCTACTCTTCTTAACACGGTAAAAAAATATAGCTCAGTACTCACTGCAGTGAGTGAGAGAGAGCGCATTTTCTCGTCGACGAAAACGTGAAGTCACGGATGGACAGACAGACGAACGGACAGACGGACGGACATGGTGAGCACAATAGTACATTTTTTCCATAAATGAGAGAATGCGCTAAAAATAGAACAAATAAATAAACAAACATAAATAACAAGATCCACTCGCTTCCGCCCGTCAGCTCATGGCGACAACAGCGACAAGCTACGCAAGGCCAAGATCAACTACATCGACCCGAACGAGTGCATCGACATGTGGAGCTCCAACCCCCTCGTCCGGCCACCCTGGGGCATCACCAGCGACCTCATCTGCGCCGGCGCTGAGGGGAAGGATTCGTGTAGGGTGAGTGATCGATTGCGATAACATAATTTTGAAGGAAAGTGGTGAAAAATCGATTCCAAAAATAAAATTTTAAATAATATATACGAGAGATTGGTTCCGAAAACAAAATTTAAAAGAAAATTTGTGAGTGATCGGTTGCTAAAACAAAATTAGAAGAAAGTTTGTGAGAGATTGGTTGCAAAAACAAAATTTTGCAAAAATATGTGAGTCATTGGTTCCAGAAAAAAAAAATTGGATAAAAACCGGTGAGTGCTCGGTTTCGAAAAAAGATTTAGATCAGAACCAGGGTCTAATGTGCAGGTTATGATAATTAAATAATCCGCATTCGTCCGTTGTGGCACACACTTAACGGACGCCAAGGTGACTGCCTAGAGAAGCTCTTAATATTTTTAGTGACTTATAAGTTAGGAAAGGACCAGCTTTTGCAAAAACATGTCTTAATGTGAGATTAGGGCTGAAAGTTGACATATACCCCGGCCCGCTCCATTCACCGACAATGGTACATCGTACATGTAGGTAGGTATGGAGTGTTATTAACGTTGTGAAAGAGCGAATGTTGGGCGAGAATTGGAAAATGTGTTAGGATATTTTAGTGCGAGAGGCGATTCGGTGCTAAAAAACCTATTAAACACAGTAGGGGTTGTGCTTCCCTAACATTTGGGTTGTGATTCACTTATGCAATCTGAATTTTACCAAACGTTATGAAAAACGTCTTCTGGGTTTTCCATGCATGGAAGCAGTTACTTTTTTTAAATTGCTGATTGTTTTGAATAACTTGCAGTGATGAATAATATAATTCACATTACTTTGTCTAGCCTGTAAACGTTCCTTAACTGATCGATTTAAATCCAATCTGCCAAATGTGCTTCGTTCGTTCATGATATTTGAGGACTTCTATTATAATACACTACGCCGACATAGGAAACTTTCCAGTGAGCAACATTCTTTTTCTACATCATGTATTTCCGTCACATCCGAAACAATGATTAATGCACGAGGGTTATTCGTATGTAAGTACGTAATATTTCACAAATTGTACTTTTCCTTGATCGAAATGTGATACATGTGATAATATAATGAATCTCCAACGCAAATACAACGTTTCGCTCCCATCACACATAAATCCAGTCGCATGTAAAGAATAATTCATAAGCATCACCCATGCATTGAATGATACATAATTCATATTTCCTACCATACTTCCTTGAGATAGTTGATACGATTTGTATTTCCTGCCGAGTCTTAAAGGAAATCAGTCGAATGAAATTTTTCCAAAATTTCACGTCCGTAATCCCAACATTTGACGGGCAGGGCGACAGCGGGGGGCCTCTGATGCAAGAGTCAAACCTCCCGGAGGTCTTAGCGGGCACCTGCATGCCCAGGGAGGTGGCCGGCATCGTCAGCTTTGGGCCGCTGTGCGGTCGTTTGGGAGCTTACACCAAAGTCGCATCCTACCTCGATTGGATCACCGCCATCGTCGCCCCTAAAGCCTCTTCATCCCCCATTGTCTAGGCGAAGCTGACTTCATATGCTGCCACTGAAAACCATTCCTCCACCATTTCATACAAAGCATAATTTTCATCGTAACTCTACAGAAACTTTCTCCTTAGCTGCATCTGTTTCGATGCGGGGTCCTTTGCGCACACGGTGGGCAAGCAACATCCAGCAGTCGGCCCAGTATATCTCCGCGTCCTATATAGTTACTCTTAAAGCCTCTTCTAATCTCGCTACTTAGATTGAATCACCTCCATCGTACTCTTGCAGCCTCTTCCTATCCCGCTGCTGAGACCATATCCCCTCCATCGCCGTTCCTTCAGTTACTTCATCCAGACATCCACGCCGCGTAGATCGAAAATGTCTGTGATGTTGCACACACGCGATCGTGATTGATGGAATAACTTAACTTGCAAGAGTTTCGACTCTTCGTGTTCTACCGATGTCGGTTTCGACACAAGCAACTTGACGTGTGTTGACGACGCCAGTTTGTTTACGGACGTCTTTTGCTTGGTAAATCTGTGACTGAATGTTACCAGGCCTACTGAAGCATTCGCGCTGTAGTTATGGATTAGTGTTCAGTATTTTCTCCCCTTTAATACCAATAGCTTACATTTAGCGATATAATCGTAAATTTACTTCATAGCGCTTATTTACGAGGAAATTTTTAGTTTGCAACTTTTCCAACGCTAGCCGTTCCAGTCAAGACGCAAATAGTTTTACAGTATCAGTACAGCTATCGCGCCCAAAAAGCTGTTGAAACTCCTATTGTTTATTCATGTCAGCTACACACCTCAAATTTTGAGTTACAATCAATAGTGTTAAATGTAACAACTCAATTCAAAACGACGACTCTAGCTCAGAGCCTTTTCTTGAGCTGTATTTCAGAGCCTGAAACAAAGCATAAATTTTAAATGTATAATAAGTTATGTTTTGATAAGAATAGAGGAGCTACAATAGAGGGAGATTAAATTTATAACCAAACAATTTCAGGATTTAAACGAATCATATTGCAATTGCATAAAACATCAATGACACAAAATAATATTGTTCGACCAATCGTGTCACCACAAATAAAAAACCAACGCACAAATAACACAAACCCAAGAATCAAACTCAACCCCAATAAAATCTTAAGCTAACGCATGCGTATTTACTTTGAAGAGATGCCTTTTTGGTATAGTTGATCGCTCTAACACATTTCCCTATTTGAATAATTAATAATCAAACTATTCGTACCGCAAAAGTCAACATTTAATGCTAATCAACCGGTCAAATATTACTATCTTCCTCCAGCAACATCACACCCAAAACGCGATCATTACGAACATCACTGGGTGTTGTAACAGAGAACTGAGAGTTATACCTGCAAAGCAGCGTTATCAAACACCTGCTTATATATAATAAAAAAACCTGCGTAATAGTTAACCTTCGCATCCTATGAATACAATTGTGGTTAATAGTTTACCAAAATTATTTAGGTGACACGGTCTCAAAAACGCTGCTGTTATAAATCATATCTCTGTCGTGTTGATTAATCGCCTCTTGTGGAGAATTGGATGATTTACTGCACTCACTTTTTTTTGTTGAGCTCAACCGTATATCCTTCAACATTAAATCCTACTTCTACAGGCCATTGGCCGGATTTAAATCATTCGTCAGCGAGCATTGAAACTAAACAGCTTTCCTAAGTTTTTCATCCCAGCCGAAAATGTCCGCTTGAGGTCTTACGGTATGTTTCATTGGCCATGATACAGTATATCTAACAAAGTAATGCGCAGATTTAAATTAAACTGAACGCATGAACATCTCATCAGCTTTCCACTCGAGTTGGGGTGGGGTCCTTTGTTCAGTCGTGGTCCCATACACTGTCAATTTTGATTAATAAAAAATTATCTGACTGACGGGGTGGGTCTAAACACTGAGATCACGATTACTAAATCGAATCCGTCGAAGTTCTCTATTCATTTACGGAAAACATCAGTCTAGGAGCTCCCCGAAAACTTGTGAATAAAACCGAAACGATCTCACCACTAAACGACAGCTGAAGGTTGATTGAAGTTCAAATGTGAGGTTTAATTGACATCTGTATAGTAGTTCAGAAGATATGCATCATGCAAAGGTCACTACGCATTGGGAACCGGCAGGACAACCGCTCGATAAAATGTAAGAAGGGTGTTTTTTATCATATTGCTGAAGTAACACCATATACCTAGTTCACCTCCGCGTGATATACACTCCCCCCAAAAAAATGTCTGAGACATATTTCGCTATTTATCACTACAATGACACTTAGAGGTATACAAGCTCAATCTGCCAACCTGAGTTGTAGAAATTAGCAATTCAAATGGAGTGACGCACAAAATGTTCACGGACTTTCTCCAGAATTTTTTTTGCCAGCTCGTCTGTAATAAACCTCGTGTTGTAGTCAAAAGAAAATAACAATTCCCCACGGAATGTTTGCACGCAAAACGTGTTATTTGAGAAATATTGGTGAATCGACGTGCTCCGTCGGATCTCCGTGGCCTTCACGTGAGAATATTCATCCCCGTTTGGTGCTAGGAATATTTTGGTGACGTTGCCCATGTTGGAAGTGAAGTAGACAGCGGTGCAAGGGAGCTTATAGCTGTAAAGTTCCGACGATTTCTTCACAGGCGGAAAGACTTCGGCGTCTATAATATCCATAAAGAACATCTGTTTGTTGTTCAAGCATTCATGGAAGACCTTGTGGAAGTGGCGGGCACTTTCCCACACTTTTGAAGGACAGTCCTTATCAACTGTAAAGAGTATTCGTTGCATACCAACATGCGGTCCGTACGATTTCTCCGACTCAGAGTCCCAGTATCTTCTCTCATTTACGTCGTGGAAGGAAACAATGTCGAACTTTTCTGAAGAAACTCCTGCTTCTTGGAACATCTCTACAAATGCGCTGTGCAACAACGAGCAGAATCCTGAATGCACGCTCACTCCTTCTGATTTTATTTTCTGCAAAAATTTGGAAGTGGATGTCTCATCAAATTTGGTGAACAGTGTTGCAGTTTCCGGATCAGTTACTTCTACCTTCGGCGGAAAAACCTTAGTGAGGAGAGAACCAGCAGCAGCAATAGCCGCATAATCATCACGCATTTTACGTTGCAAGTACAAGTTCGTGCTGAGGGTGAGCTTGGCTTCTTCTACAAGCTTATCGTGAAACTCTGGCCCCACGTAATCAGCAAACTGTTCGTTGTCGTCGACTTCGTTCCCTTCAAGTTCAGAATTGAGTAAAGACAGAAAGTGTCCACACAATCGCATGGATGAGTGGCCGTCGGTGATGGAATGATGCAGACCGAACATCACTCTATAATGATGCTTGAACTCTGCATCGGGAGTCGGTCCGTCCTGAGCTGGCATGACCGTCACGCGCCATAATGGCCCCAACCTGGCATCGTGGGGCTTGCGGGTCTCCCCAATGTACACGGCGTCGAAGCCCTCTGGAGAAGTCAGCCACTGCACATAAAAAATATAACTCAGTACTCACTGCAGTGAGTGACAGAGAGCGTATTTTCTCGTCGACGAAAACTTGAGATCACGGACGGACGGACAGACGGACGGACAGACAGACAGACGGACATGGCGAGCACAATAGTGCATTTTTTCCATAAATGAGAAAATGCGCTAAAAACTGATATTAAAACAGATGGAAAAGATGACCGAATACCCATTAAGGACAATAGAATTCACCAAAAAAAATAATTTAAAATGCAGACAAACATGAGTGGGATCATTAATGCTCAAGATATTTTCAGCTCAATGAGTGACTTCTTAGAAACCATCTTATTTTATTATTATTATCTGTAAACTTGCTGGCAGAGTTCCACAACTTATGCCGCATTTACGCTTAAACAAAAAATGTTACCTTCAAAATTATATTTTCTTCAGCCATTCGACACAGCCAGAGCTCGCCATTCCCGTCCACACATATGCAGACGCGCAAATTTGGCATTTTCCTGTTGTAGAATAATACATTTTTGAGTATAACTTATTTATTGAAAAATGCTATTTTCGGATCTATACTATCAAGATTGGGAAAAAGCAAAAAAAAATTTACATTTCCTCTCAGGAAAACGAACTTTTTTTTCTGTATTTTAACTTTTCAAGCCGTGAAATAAGGGGGAGTTTAACATTTCATATCTTGTAGATTATCTGCAGGTGAACAAGAGGCAGCAAGTTTCGACGCTTTTCAGTTCTAAAGTAAAATTTACTTCTTCCATTGTCCAGCTAAAATAGTAAGTATGTTTAGCATCGTCTTGTCGAGCCAGAACGTCAAATTTGGAAGGATGAAAACCACATAAGAATATAAAATATGATCCTCCGAAATTCTGCAACGCAATTTCGCCCACGTCTATGAGGAAAATTACCACCAGTCCCAGACGAATATTAAAATGTCTAATGTGTACATTGTGTTCACACGAAAAACGAAATCGGCGGGGGCGGATGGCGGCTGAACCTTATTCGTGATCAAGCATTCCTGCTTTAGTTTTTCAACCTACAAATATTATTGTCCACTAACCTGTAAAGGTGCAGGAGAGCAGAATGCACAGAGCTTCGTTGCAAAGGATTCAGAGTCGCAATAGTTAGACAGTAAACAGTCAAATTTATGTTATTTTCATTAGAAAACTGGAAAAATTTCTCAATGGGGCTAAGCTTGCGTAATTTACGCTCATCGAAGACACTTGATGTGGCCATGGCTAATAGGAGTTGAATCACTTTCGTACGTCTGGAAGCCTGCAATAGAAATTTATGTCTGAGGGTGAATAAGTTCCTTTCTGGAGGCGGTTCGTAAATACATTTGTTCGCATGTCCAAAACAGTAGGTATGTTTTGGTTGCTGCGTGCAACCGGCTATACTGTTGGACGTACCGGTAAAAACAATACCTGTACTACAGTAAAACTACAGCTGGTTTTTAATATAATTTGAACTACCTTCAAATACCCTGTATACATGAAATAAAATTCATAATAAGTAAAATACTTTATTCTTACATTATAGGCTTTATTCTTACATTTTTGTGGGGTGGGTGGGCTATTGTACTACGGCTATACTGTCCTACAGGCCGGTAAAAACAATACTACAGTAAAACTACTCGGCAGCAGGCATGCGAACTATCCTTATGGACAGGCATTGAAGTTGAGGACAGCGTTGTTCGTATGTACCGAAGTTCGCACTTGGAAGTTCGTACCCAGGGGACTCGTTGTACTAAATATGTTGTTAGCCGTTTGTTAAATCAAGCGTTCGTTCACATCTGTGAAATCTATAGCCCAAATGTCTGTAAAATGTAATAACGCCCCTGGTACGTACATATCACCGTGACCTTGGCTCCCTCAGCTGCCTGCTGCCGCAGCACTGCCCGTTATTCACTAAAGGAAAAACTCTGGTAAAAATTACTTGTACGGTAACTTTTATTCCTCATTTGATTTGCTTCTATATTGCCTCAAGAAACTGATCTACAGTATAAGTAGTAAAACCAAAAATAAAGCCAAATTTCATCTCCTAAAGACGAGGATTAAGAAACAAATAAATATTGTTGTCCATGACTTACGTAATGCTGTTGCAATTTGCCCCGCAGAACAAAAAAATGCGAACTTCGATCATAAATTATCGAAGTAAAATATGAACGGCATTCGTAATGCATCAAGCACGAGTCATCGCTCGGCATTTGCTTATTTTGCTAACGTCTGGATACAATGCAATAAACCTTTAACATTCATCTCCGTAATCAAGCTAGGTGAAGTGACATTTGTAGCGTCATTAGGTATTTATCATGGTTGATGATATGGCAAGCGAAACAGCTTCAAGGATCTTGAGTCGAGTATCAGATAACTGAGCCTATCATTCAAGCTGAGTTATATGTCTCTTACGAATGGTTAAAGAATTAAACTAGTTAGCATATTCCAGCAGGAGTTCTAGGATCGTCTCTGGCCAATCTTGAAAAAAATGACAAAATCATGCTACGATTGACGTTTTTGAAACCCGCGAGAATCGTGCCCACACTGAATTTAAGGAATAAAATTTTTCTAATCAATACATGAAAAAACTAAGGAATGTCTAAAAAAATAAAATCAGCAATTGCATGGTTATTTCACTACTGTCATTCATTTCCAAAGGTTGAATTGCTAGAAACAAAAGAAAACACTTCTGCAGACGGCACATCTGTGAGTGTGAGTCGCTGGCACCTGGCAGTTGTGTTGACACAACTGACTCCACCCCCAATAATCACAGTAAAATTTTGACAAGTACAAAGCACATGATTTAAATTCACTTGGTAAACTATTACCCTTCAAGTTATCTCAGCTAGACGCTTGAATTTGGCTTCTTTATCGTCGGCTGCATAATTACGATAGATCACTAGCAGTAGCAGTACACAAAATACATCAACACTATCCTCATTCCTCACCGTGTGCCTCTACTGCAGCGCGTTGTCAAAGTACTAAGTAGAACAATTGTGGCCCGGCAGCGGAGTGCAGAGAACAGCGTGGGCAGCAACTGTTAGACGCGTACGACAACTGCAATATTAGCCCTAGATTGCCCGAATTTCCGAAATGCTTCAGTAACATATCGTTTAGCTTCTACAATGTTGGCCTACCCTCAGAGAAATTTAAGTTGACAATTCTGCGCAATTTCGAGTCATACAATGAAATGAATGAATTGTTGTTGAATGGGCGAATGAATTGTTAGTCAACGTCTATAATCCTCACAATCTATAAACTCTTAAACGATCCTGGCTTAGCTACAATTTCGAAGACGAGATCTTTTTCTTTGTTGTTATAATGAAGGAGCGAGTTTTGTTATTCTATCTGACAATGATAACTCATCAATGAGTTGTTAATCAAATACCAATTGCTTTCAAGGTTTGATGAGCACCACTATAGCCATTGATAAAGAATAACGCGCTGCGGCTGATAAACCTCGATGGAGATGTCACACACTATGAAAAAATGGTAACTCAAGACGAGAGTTGCTTCAAATGTGCCCGAACCTTCTCAAAATTTTGTTAGCAAGCTCATTGCTTATGTAACGCGTGTTGTAGTCGAAAGAACAGAGCAATTCTCTGCGGAATGTTTGCAAGCAGAAGACATTATTGGTTTTCAATTTGTGAATAAACGTGCTCCGCCGGATCTCCAGAGCTTTAACGTGAGAATATTCCGCTCCTTCCAATTGAAGGAATAATTTTGTGACGTTGTCCATACTGGAAATCTTGAAAACGGTCGGGCAGATGATATTGTAATTGTAAAAGTCCTCGGATTTCTGTGCAGCTGGAGAGACTTCTGCTTCTAGTATATCCATGAAGAGCGTCTGTTTGTAGTCCAAGCAATCGTGAAAGACCTTATGGAACTGGCGAGCACTTTCCCTCACATTGGTGGGACAATCATTATCAACCGTGAATATTATTCGTTACCTACCTACGTGTGGTCCGTATATAAGATTTCTCAGACTCAGAGTCCCAGTATCTTCTCTCATTTACGTCGTGGAAGGAAACAATGTCAAACTTTTCCGAAGAAACTCCTCTTTCTTGGAACAACTCGACAAATGCGCTGTGCAACACCGAGCAGAATCTTTAATGCACGCTCACTCCTTCTGATTTCGTTTTCTTCATAAATTTTGTAGTGGAAGCCTCGTCAAATTTTACGATGAGTGTTTCTGTTTTCGGATCAGCTACTTCTACCTTCGGAGGGAAAACCTTGGTGAGGAGAGATTCAGCCGCAGCAATAGCCGCATATTCATCCCGTATTTTACGTTGCAAGTCAAGTTAGTGCTGAGGGTGAGCTTGGCTTCCTCTACAAGCTTATCGTGGAACTCTGGCCCCAAGTAGGCAGCAATCTGTGTCCGTTGTCGACTTCGTTCCCTGCAAGTTCACTATTGAGTAAAAAAAGAAAGTGGCCACACAATCGCATGGATGAGTGGCCGTCGGTGATGGAATGATGCAGTCCGAACATCACTCTATAATGATGCTTGAACTCCGCATCAGGAGTCGGCCCGTCCTGAGCTGGCACGACCGTCACGCGCCATAACGGCCCCTCCCTCGCATCGTGGGGCTTGCGGGTCTCCCCAATGTACACAGCGTCGAAATCTTGTGGAGATGTCAGCCACTGCACAAAAGGAAAACCTTGATCCCAATTTGAAAGAAAAAGACAACCGAGCGCGAGTAAGAACTGTAGGAACACGAAAATAAATCTAACAAACACTGATAATTAATGCAAACTATCATAGATGGATTGGACAGAAATATTATTAAAATAGTGGAGAAATGTACAGTACAATCGGTTCCATGTCAGTTACATTTCATGGTTCATTATTAGAATATTTAAACTTGCTGGAGTAGTTGCGCGACTTATTCCATATTTACTCTCAGACTTAAAATGTTACTTCCAAGAGTATAAGTTCTTGAGCCATGTCAAACAGCCAGAACTCGCCATTTTCGTCCCCGACGATGTGCAGGCGTAAGTTTTGCATTTTCCTGCCAATAAAATCATATTTTTGAGGAATATATGCTTCTAAAAAAAGAGATTGTAAATAGTTTTGAGAAATACTATTACCCGGTGTATATTATGAATGTCTTCAGTGTACCACGTGTTCAATAATCCGGACGTCCCTGCTGTCAATTTTTTCAGGATTTAAAGGTATAATATATACAAACCTGAAAAGGTGCAGGAGGGCCAAGTGCACGGAGTTTCGTTGTAAAGGGCGCTGAGTCCCAATCGTTAAACAATAAATCGATAAATTTATCTTATGATTGTTAGAAAAATGAAAATATTTCTCAATTGGCCTGAGCTTGCGTAATTTGCGGTTCTCGGAGTCACTTGACATGGCCAGTGCTGATAGAAGTTTAATCTCTTGTAAGTCTGGCAGTCTGAAACGGAAATTGATGTCTGATGACTTTAATCTTTAAACGAACTTTTAATCCACGTTCTAAATTGAATAGTTGCCGATAAAATACTGAACAAAAATAAATGGTTAAAATGTCCCATCAACGATCTCAAAGAGCCTGACTAAAATGATACAGGAAGCCGGAATATTCGCCATTTATTTACGAGGAAATTAAATTGTCCTGGATAAAAGTTATCAATCCAGGCAATGATTGTGTAGCGGAATCTCAAATTTGCTACCATTTTCAAGAAGGGCATCAGCAGTATCGTTTTACAGACTATAATACGCGAAATTTTGGACCATGAGAAAACATTTTGCAAATAATTACGGAATACTTAATTAAATTTCATTTTAAGGATTAACTAATATGTATCACCAAGAATCGTTTCGGTTATATCCCGCTAATAAGCTGGATAATAAAGAAATTTTTCAAGCTCATACAGTCTAGGATGTCTTGTCTCGGATTTCCGAGGAAAGTTTTAGATTTCTGATATTTTTATCGCTAATTAGGACAAAGCTTATACGATAATCTCGTCTTCTCTTGAAAAAAAAAACGCATATGCATAGAGTAGACGGATGCTTAGCAATACGCGCTCTCTATGCCACATTAAAATGATTGCCTATAATTTTATAATTAACATTAAAATGAGATGCGTTATGCCTGAAATGGAGTGCAATGTAGCGAGTGAATGGATATCTAGATTAAGACTAGTAGTCATAATGCGGCGAAACTAAGAGCGAGGTATTCGCGACCATCTTGTGAAATACTCGATCGGTCCTAAAATCGGCCAGTCGCTACTCTCGAGCTTGTAGTCTTTTAACCTAGCCAGCCCCTTTCTTGTGGTAACGACTGTCTTTCAGGTAGCCGAGGAATGGCCAGCGGTCGGCTAGAACTAATTGGCTTCGGCCGACCTCAGGCCACGTATCACTCATTGAGTCGCCCTTCATTGACACTTCACTGCTCTGGACAATGGTCACGATAGATTAACAGCAGTTTATAGCACATAAAACTAATTTCACTTCATCGTAATCTCGTCTTTCAAATTTACTCAATTACATTCTTCAATTTAGATTGTAATTAATTACAATTTATTACCGCCTACGCACGAAAAAAACGCGCAATCCTAACCTCATGAATGACCTTGCACTTCTGCTGCAGCCAGCAGCCACTGAGCCATGTTCAACAAATGTTATGGCACTCTTGGTGTCGTGGGGCTCGGCAGCGCAGTGAAGAGGTTTGAGTCTAGAGAACACAGCAATCAGGTACTGGGAGACACGCGTACGACAACTGCTGTATTCAATGGTCGCGTACGACAACTGCTGTATTCAATGACCGCGTATGACAATTGCAGCATTTCAATGGCATAACCAACTAAAGGTTCGCCCACCCTCACAGAAATTTTCTTTCCATCTGTAATATGATTATAAACGTTATGTAAGATCTTCTATTCTAAGGGACTAGACGAAGCTATGCAGGAGCATATGTTGAAAATGCCTAGCAACTTAAACGGACCAGGCAATAAGTCCAGCAGCTATCGCAATCAATCGTCATTCGTCACTTATAGAAAGATCGGGTTCCAAAGGCCGGATCCATTTTGAATCAACTCACGAAAAGTTCAAGAATCGGCAACAGGCCATGGGCCTATTTCTTCAATGCCGACACTTCTATTCTATTCTATTCATACCGCTAGCACTGTGATTAAAATAGGACCTCAGATTTATAAAGTCTAATGTTCCTTCAATTCGACTATTCCCTTCAAAAAAGCCAACGATCATCTGCTACTAATTAAGAGGTTTCGCCGATAGTTTTCGTCATCTTGGGACTGCCGTATATACGTTTACAAAACCTGATACCTTAAAGTTTGAGAAGGTAATAAAAACTATTTTTATTTTTATTGTAGTCTTCCCACTTAACCCGTTGCTTGCGCTACATCCCACAAGTGGGCTTTGGTCGTATCGCAATCAACGTGTTAATAATTATGAACTCCTCGAGGTTTTATATCTAAAAACTCTTCAAAATTTCATTCCTAAGAATTCACTTCATTTACTTGCATAATAAGGGGATTTAATTTCTAAATAATTTGTTGTCGTTGGCCGTTGATCCAGGCGTTTTTTTGCACATTACCACGCCGAAAAATTATAATTATCCAGCTCATCATTTCAACGTTTCCATTCAACTCTGAATTCCGATGCGAATTATGTTCTATACTATAGTATATAAAGTGAACAACTCATTCAAAGTATGAATTTAAAACCTCACGATATCCATATTTCAAGGTCTTGAACAACTCTTCGTACTATGAATCAATGTTCAATAATAAGTTCTGCTTAAAAATGGAAAAGCCAATATGAAAGGTATTAAAGCTTATAAGCCGACAGTTTTTCAAATTGGAAGCATTTATTGCAGTAAAAAATCAGTTTAGTAAAATAACCACAGCAAAATAATATTGTTCTACGGGGTCAAGAGTCACCACAAACAAATAAAGTATAAACGACCATACCCCATAAATGGATGAACCAACCGAAGCCATTAATGTTTAAATAAAACACTTCCATACCTTTAAATTCAACCAAATGATAATTTTAATATAATTCATGGGAATTGTCCTAGTTTGGAGGCATTTTCATGTAATTATCAATGATCTCTCGTTATTAGATCGCCTTCTGTAAAATCAATTTTCCACCTATTCATACCGCAAAACATTCATTCCTCAGATGCTATAAGTGACATCCACTGGAATATTCGGATACCATTATTGGTTCAAATAATACAACTTTCCATCAGAAGAATCGTCATTTCAAGCTTCAAATAAAGAGCATTTTAAAACAACATAACTGATTTAGTGATGAGTTAATTTACTTTGTTTCAGCCGTTTAACTCAACCACAGTGGTAAGAAGCAAGGTTTGTGCAAGCTAATGCAAGTGCAAGATGTTAGTAAAAGTCAAGATGCGTAGTTCAAGACAAATGGCGCAGAAAATGGGCTCGGACTTTCTCAACAATTCTGTTAGCAAGCTCAGTTGAAATATACCGCATATTGTAATCAAAAGAAACAAGCAACTCTCTGCGGAATGTTTGGAAACAAAATCCGCCATTAATCAAATATATGTGTAATGAGGTGCTCCGCCGTATCTCTGTGGCCTTCACCTGAGAATATTCAGTTCCGTCTGGTGATAGGAATATTTTGGTGACGTTGCCCATGTTTGAGGTGCTATAGACGCTTGGGCAGGAAATTTTCTGACTGTATAAGTCCGTGGATTTATCCACTGTCGGGGAGACTTCAGCATCTATAATTTCCATGAAAAACGTCTGTTTGTTGTCCAAGCACTCAAGGAAGACCTAATGGAACTGGCGGGCGCTTTTCCACACGTTGGAGGGACAATCTTTGTCAACGGTTAAGATTAATCGTATCAGAGATAAATGCAGTCCGTAAGACTTCTCCGACTCAGAGTCCCAGTATCTTATCTCATTCACGTCGTGGAAAGAAGAGATGTCGAATTTTTCTGAAGAAGCTCCAGCTTCTTGGAACATCTCCACAAATGCGCTGTGTAACACCGAGCAGAATCCTGAATGCACGCGCACCCCTTCTGATTTCGTTTTCTTCATAAATTTTGTAGTGGAAGCCTCGTCAAATTTGATAAAGAGTGTTTCAGTTTTCGGGTCAGTTACCTCTTCCTTCGGAGGGAAAACCTTGGTGAGGAGAGATTCAGCCGCAGCAAAAGCCGCATAATCATCACGCATTTTACATTGCAAGTCCAAGTTCGTGCTGAGGGTGAGCTTGGTTTCTTCTACAAGCTTATCGTGGAACTCTGGCCCCACAAGATCAGCAAACTGTTCGTTGTCGTCGACTTCGTTCCCTTCAAGTTCAAAATTGAGTAAAGCCAGAAAGTGGCCACACAATCGCATGGATGAGTGGCCATCGGTGATGGAATGATGCAGTCCGAACATCACTCTATAATGATGCTTGAATTCTGTGTCAGGATTCGGCCCTTCTGAGCTGGCATGTCCGTCACGCGCCATAACGGCCCCACCCTCGCATCGTGGGGCTTGCGGGTCTCCCCAATGTACACAATGTCGAAATCCTCAGGGGAAGTCAGCCACTGTAAAAAAACGTGATACCTGAACAGGAGTTTTGTTGAGCGAAAACGATTCGATCCTTGGGGAAAAATGATGATTGAATAAAAATGTGCATAAATGTGTAAAATTTGGCCAAAATTATTTATAAAATGAGAAAACTACTTTCAGGCAAATTACAAATTTGGATAGGGTTCCAATAAAAGCTCAAAATAATTTCAGTTCAGTCTATAGCGATGTATTTACGATGTAAATAAAATGTTACCTTGAGAAGTATGTTTTCTTGACACAGCCAAAGCTCGCCATTTCTGTCCTCGTCGATGCACACTCGCAAATTTGGCAGTTTCCTGCCATGAAAGAATTCATTGTTTATTGAGGAGCATTTCTTTCTCATTGAGGTACATTTCCTTGTGGAAGATTGCTTGCTTACAGAAAAATCTTTTTCGAGAAGCAGCGAGAGGTGGCGCTTTTCTGTTGTGAAATTTATACATTTTGGATTTTACAGTAGTAAAAGAGTGTACTTTTTAGCCTCGTCAGATTATGAGGCATCTTGCCTCGTGGTGAAATTAATTAAGATCGGTGAAAACTAAACCGTAAATCATAACAAGTGCAGCACTTCTATTTTATCCCCACAAATGGGACAATTTAAAAAACTGTTATCTGCAGAATGTTGGTAGTGATTTCTGAGTGCTTCGTGTTTATCATTTGTAAAATAAACGATTTCAGCTCTCTAGATCTTATTCCAGTCGTCCTCGATATCATGGTGTTCATAGTAAAAATATTATAATATCCTCTAACCTGTACAAGTGCAGGAGGGCAGAGTGCACTGAGCTTCGTTGTAAAGGGCTCCGAGTCGCAATTGTTAGGCAGTAAACCGTCACATTTACTGTATGATCGTGGCAAAACTGGATCAATTTCTCGACGGGGCTAAGCTTGCGCAATTTACGCTCCTCGAAGTCACTTGATGTAGCCATGGCTCAAGGAAGTTGGTCCTCTGTCGTACTTCTGGTAGTCTGTAAAAGAAAGAATTTCAAGGCTATAATTTTTCTAAACCAAATTCGCACAACATATTCACCTAACAAAGCTTCAGATCAAATTTTTTCGACGGAAACCTGGGGTTAAAATAATTCAAACCAGCGGTGTAGAATATAGCAAATGAAGTTCGTTGTATCTTCGACACTGAAATTACTTCTTCAGAGATTTTTCAAACTTTTCAGCCGAGACAAAATTGCATGAGTCTCCCGATAGCGGGTTTATCTTGCTGATTAGATCTCTCACAACCCAGCTTGAAATTCTCGACCCCGACAAAACTATTATAAAGATTATTATCAACTTTCATCGTCAAAAAAATGGCGAGGATAAAATATCCAAGCCACGGCTTGCCTCTCTAGTCGAGGGTTGAAGAGGCAATTGTATTTTGATGTTAACAAAGCTTATGTGTACCCAGTGAGAGGAATAATTATTTTAAATTATCCTGTCTTGTTCGTAAATTTACTTCATAGCGCTTCTTTACGAGGAAATTTTTAGTTGCAACTTTTCCAACGCCAGCCGTCTCAGTCAATGACGCAAATAGTTGTACAGTATAAGAACAACTATCGCGCCCAAAATGCTGTTGAAACTCCTGTTGTTTAATCATGTCGGCTTCTCATCTCACATTTTGAGTTACAATCAAAAGTGTTAAATGTAACAACTCAATTCAAAACGACGTCTCTAGCTCAGAGCCTTTTCTTGAGCTGTATTTCAAAGCCTGAAACAAAGCATCATTTTAAATTTCGCATAAGTTATGTTTTGATAAGAATAGAGGAGCTACAATAGAGGGAGATTAAATTTATAACCAAGCGATTACAGGATTTAAACGAATCATATTGCAATTACATAAAACATCAATGACACAAAATAATATTGTTCGACCAAATCGTGTCACCACAAATAAAAAACCAACACACAAATAACACAAACCCAAGAATCAAATTTAACCTCAATAAAATCTTAAGCTACTGCATGCGTATTTATTTTGAAGAGATACTTTTTTTTATATCGTTGATCGCTCTATAACATTTCCTATTTGATAAATTATTAATCCAATTCGTACCACAAAAGTCAACATTTAATTCCCATCAACTAATCAAATATTACGATCTTCCTCCAGTAAAATCACACACAAAACGCGATCATTACGAACATCACTCGCTGTTGTTACTGAGAACTGGTAAACCTGCATATCAGCGCAATCAAAAACCTGCTTATATATAATAAAAAACATACATAATACATCCCTGCGTAATAGTCAACATTTGTATCCTATGAATTTAATTGTGGTTTATAGTTTACCGAAAATATTTAGGCGACATGGTCTCGTGAACGCTGCTGTTATAAATCATTTTTCTGTCGCGTTTATTATATTTGCCTCTTGTCGAGAATTGGACGACTTACTGCACTCACAACATTTTTTGCCGAGCTCAACCGCATAGGTATCCTTTAACATCAAATCATACTTCTACATGCCATTGGCCGTATTTAAATCATGCGTCAGTGAGCATGGAAACAAAACAGCTTTTCTAAGTTTTTCGTCGCAGCCGAAAATGTCCGCTTGAGGAATTACGGTATGTTTTACTGGCCATGATATATAAGTAATGCTCAAATTTAAATTAAACTGGACTCGTGAACATCTCATCAACTTTCCACTCGAGTTGTGGTGGAGACCTCGGTTCAGTCGTGATCCCATACACTGTCAATTTTGATTAATAAAAATTATCTGAGTGACGTTGTGGGTCTAAATCCTGAGATAACGATTAATAAATAGAGTCCGTAGAAGTTCCTTAATTATTTACGGAAAATATCTCTAGGAACTGCTCGAAAACTTGTGAATAAAATCGAAACAGCCTCACCACTAAACGACAGCTGCAGTTTGATTGAAGTTCAAGTGTAAGGTTTAATTGACATCTGTGTAGTAGTTCAGAAGATATGCATCATGCAAAAGTCACTACGCATTGGAAATCGGCTGGACGACCGCTCCATAAATGTCAGAATGGTGTTTTTTTTATCATATTGCTGAAGTAAAACCATATAGTTCACCTCCGCGTGATAAAAAAAAAAGATAGGTCCACTAACCCCCCCCCAAAAAAATGCTTTTTGAGACGGATAGCGCTATTTATCGCTGCACTGACACTTAGAGTGTATACAAGCTCATTCTGCCAAACTGAGTAGATATGTGAAAATTAGCTATTCAAATGGAGTGACGCAGAAAATGTTGACGGACTTTCTCCAGAATTTTTTTTGCGAGCTCGTCTGTGACAAACCTCGTGTTGTAGTCAAATGAAAATAGCAATTCCCCACGGAATGTTTGCACACAAAACACGTTATTTGTGAAATATGGATGAATCGACGTGCTCCGCCGGATCTCCGTGGCCTTCACGTGAGAATATTCATCCCCGTTTGGTGCTAGGAATATTTTGGTGACGTTGCCCATGTTGGAAGTGTTATAGGCGGTGGGGCAAGGGAGCTTATAGCTGTAAAGTTCCGATGATTTCTTCACAGGAGGAAAGACTTCGGCGTCTATAATATCCATAAAGAACATCTGTTTGTTATTCAAGCATTCATGGAAGACCTTGTGAAAGTGGCGGGCACTTACCCACACTTTTGAAGGACAGTCCTTATCAACTGTAAAGAGTATTCGTTGCATACCAACATGTGGTCCGTAAGATTTCTCAGACTCAGAATCCCAGTATCTTCTCTCATTTACGTCGTGGAAAGAAACAATGTCAAACTTTTCCGAAGAAACTCCTGCTTCTTGAAACATCTCTACAAATGCGCTGTGCAACACCGAGCAGAATCCTGAATGCACGCTCACTCCTTCTGATTTTATTTTCTGCAAAAATTTGGAAGTGGATGTCTCATCAAATTTCATGAAGAGTGTTTCAGTTTCTGGATCAGTTACCTCTTCCTTCGGCGGAAAAAACTTTGTGAGGAGAGAACCAGCAGCAGCAATAGCAGAGTAATCATCCCGCATTTTATGTTGCAAGTCCAAGTTCGTGCTGAGAGTGAGCTTGGCTTCCTCTACAAGCTTATCGTGAAACTCTGGCCCCACGTAATCAGCAAACTGTTCGTTGTCGTCGACTTCGTTCCCTTCAAGTTCAGAATTGAGTAAAGATAGAAAGTGTCCACACAATCGCATGGATGAGTGGCCGTCGGTGATGGAATGATGCAGTCCGAACATCACTCTATAATGATGCTTGAACTCTGCATCAGGAGTCGGTCCGTCCTGAGCTGGCATGACCGTCACGCGCCATAACGGCCCCACTTTGGCATCGTAGGGCTTGCGGGTCTCTCCAATGTACACAGCGTCGTAGCCCTCTGGAGAAGTCAGCCACTGTACATAAAAAAAAACTGATAACAAAACGGATGGAGAAGATGACCGAAGACCAGTAAGAATAATAGAAACATACAAAAATAATAATTAAAAATACAGACAAACATGAGTGGGTTCATAAATGCTCAACTATTTTCAGCTCAATGAGTGCCTTCTTAGAAATCATCTCGTTTTATTATTATTTTTTTGTAAACTTGCCGGCAGAGTTCCACGATTTTTGCCGCATTTGCGCTTAAACACAACATTCATTTTACCTTCAAAATTATATTTTCTTCCGCCATTCGACACAGCCATAGGTCGCCATTTCCGTCCTCACAGATGCAGACGCGCAAATTTGGCATTTTCCTGTCGTAGAAAAATACATTTTTGAGGATAACTTGTTCCTTGAAAAATTCCGTTTTCGGATCTATAGCAGGAGTGGGATAACGCAAAAAATTTTACATATCCACTCAGGGAAACGAATTTATTTTGCATTTTGACTTGACAAGACGTAAAATAAGGGGGAGTTTAGTATTTCATATCTAGTAGATTATCTGCTGGTGAACAAGAGGCCGCAAGTTTCGACGCTTTTCAGTTCTAAAGTAAAATATACTTCTTCCATTCTTTAGCTAAAATAGAGAGTATGTTTAGCGTCGTCTTGTCGAGCCAGAAAGTCAAATTTTGAAAGATGAAAACCACATAAGAATACAAAATATGACCCTCCAAAATTCTCCAACCCAATTTTGCACGCATCTATGAAGAAAATTACTACCAGACGAATGTTAAAATGTCTAATGTGTACATTGTGGTTACACGAAAAACTATATCGGCCGTTGCAGTTGGCGGCTGAACCTTATTCGTGATCAAGCCATCCCGGCTTTTGATTATTTCAACGTACAAATATTATTAGGTCGGATAGGTCCACTAACCTGTACAGATGCTGGAGAGCAGAGTGCACGAAGCTCCATTGCAAAGGGTTCTGAGTCGCAATAGTTAGACAGTAAACAGTCAAATTTATGTTATTTTCGTTAGAAAACTGGAAATATTTCTCAATAGGGCTAAGCTTGCGTAATTTACGCTCTTCGAAGTCACTTGATGTGGCCATGGCTAACAAGAGTTGAATCACCTTCGTACGTCTGGCAGTCTGCAATAGAAATTTGTCTCAGGGTTGAAAATGGCCTGAATATGGTGGCGTGCGAAACTGATGTCTCAGCTCATAACTTAGGCATATCGGAACCTCACAGAAACAATATACCAGCGCCGTTATTGTGTATTTTTCTGGGACTTCAGGCCCTAATAAAATGTTATTAAACTCCCTAAATATTTGATGTTCATTTATTAAAAGTAATATCATTATTATTTACATAAAATGCCGAGAAATTCAATATAATGTAGCCTGGATGTTGTCAATGATGTAATTAGTACAGTAATTACAGTTTTTGCTGCTGTACTGTACAAGGAGTCCCCAGGTAACGAATTGACGTTCAAAACACGATGTTTTGGTTACGGTGCAACCGCTTTTAAACTGTCGGACGTACCGGTAAAAACAATACATGTACTACAGTATAACTACTGCTGGTTTTCAATGTGCTTTGATCAACCTAAAATGTCCTGTATACATGAAATAATATTTATAATAATACCTATGTAAAATACTTTAATATGATAGCCATGATAGGGGGGAGTAGAATTTTTTTTACGGTACAACGGCTATACCATGGTTCCAACGTGCCGGTAAAAACAACACTACAGTGTTGTCGGCAGCATATTATACTATCTATGGAAAGATCTATCTATCATTATCATTATGGAAAGACATTGGAGTTGAAGACAGCTGCGTTGTTCATGTGTACCGAAGTTGTACTCTTTGTACTAAATATGTTAGCCGTTTGCGATATTAAGCGTTCATTCACATTTGTAAAATTGTAAAATCTGTAGCCCCCGTGTCTGTAAAATCTAATAACGCCCCTGGTACGCACAAATCATCGCGACCTTGGCTGGAATAGCTCCCGCAGTGCAGCCCGCTATTCACTCAAGGAAAAACTCAAGTAAAAATTACTTGTAACTTTCATTCCTCATTTGACTTGCATCTACGACTACGAGTATATTGACTCAAGAAACTAAATTATAAGTAGTAAATGGAATAATCAAGCCAAATCCAATCTCCTAGGAGAGGATTATATTGTAAATAAATATCGTTGTCCAAGCCGTAATGCTGATGCAATTTGCCCAGCAGAACAACAAAAATATCGAATTTCGATCATCATTTTTTTTTTTTCGAAGTAAAATATAAACGGCATTCGTAATGCATCAAACGCACGAGTCACCACTCTGCATTAGCTAACGTCTGGATACCATGCAATACAAATTTAACTTTCATCTCCGTAATCAAGCTGGGTGAAGAGACATGTGTAGCGTCATTACTTATCATGGTTGATGATAAGCGAAACAGTTGGCTTCAAGGATCTTGACTCGAGTCGAGCGAATCGGCGGAGCGAGTATCAGATTCAAGCTGAGTTTTATATAAGTCTCCTACGGATGATTCAAGCAAGAAAACTAGTAAGCACATTTCAGCAGGAGTTTCAGGATCGTCTCAATCCTCTCTTGAAAAAAAAAATAACAAAAACTATGCTTCGATTGGCGATTATAAAACACGAGTGTACCATGCCACGCTGAAATCATTGATTAGAATTTTTATAATCAACAAATGAAAAAACTACAGAATACCTGAAAATGGAGATAAACTCAGCAATTGCATGGTTATTTCACTTAATTTAATTTATTTCCAAAGGTTGCCTTGTATGAAACAAAAGAAAACACTTCTGCCAGTCCGGAGCTCCGCGAGTCGTTGACGTTTGCAGATGGCAGTTGACACAACTGTCTTGAACTGACACGTCACACCACCACCAATAGTCTCGGTATAATTTTAACCATTACAAAACACATGATACTAAATTCACTTGGTCGTAAACGATTACCCCCCTTTAGGTTTTCTCATCTAGACGTTTGAATTCGGCTGCTTTTTCGTCGGCTACACGATTACCATAGTCATAGATCATTAGCAATACACCGACGTAATCCTAACCTCATGATTGACCGCGTGCATCTATTGTAGGCAGCACGCAGCAGACGTATAGTCGCGTACCCTAACAGCAATTGTTATGAGCTTATGACGCTTAAGTGGTTCGGCAGCGGAGTGCAGAGAACAGCATAGGCAGCAACTGGGAGAAGCGTACGACAACTGCGACATTAGCTCGAGATTGCCCGAAAAACTTCAGTAACTTAGTTTAGCTTCTACATTGTTGGCTTACCTGCAGAGAAATTTTACCTGACAATTTTGCGCACTTTCAAGTCTCACCGACTTATATCTCTAAAGCTGTGCTAAGAATCGAACCTGACTTTAATAAAAGGAGGCATGTTAACTGAAAAGAAGCTCATCAGATTCGCTTCCGTATTGATAAGCAGCTACGCAATAAGCGATTTTCAAGTTGTGACTGCCGTCACTAAAGTTCCCAAAATCTATCAAGCGTTCTCATCAATTTTGTGCAACGAATTTTGCCTCGATTTTCAACCAACTTAGAGGATAACCATAGGTTTCCGAGATACCGTCGTGACTCGAAGAAAACTCTAAGTACATATATTCATGTGCTACTTCAGCCGAATTGGTCAAATTTAAGTGATTTTGTGGGTGAATTGCGAGATTAGTACAGAAGCAAAATCTTAGCAAGGCACATTCAGCATTGGAGTGATTGCCATAATCGGTGTTCAAAGGCTCACGCGCGGCGCGTGGAACGAGCACTCCAATAAAAATTACAGATCCGATTTGCTGCCAAAATAAGTAAAAATTTTTCATATCTCTTGAGCTAATGAAAAAATTATGTCAGGTATATGTCTTTTCAGCTTTTAGCAGACAACCAAAATGGTGGAAATGTGACCAGAGTTCGGCAATGCCCGCACCAATAGCAGGTACCAATGTTTACAATAATTAATTTGAAATGGAATGTTGATCCAGTGTAACAATTGTCCAGTATGTGAACTTAGCGAAAGGTTTTTCATTTTCTCTTCATAGGCGATCATTTTCTAGGTAACAAATGATGAAAATGAAAAATTATATGAAAAAATTATAGTCATTTCGCTATGAAATTCAAAAGAATTACGTGAATATTGCAGGTATTCTTCCGTCCCTTTTCATTCTCGTCCTCTCGTATACAGACGCCCCTGAATTTGGACAGACTCGTTCAGTTAAAAATCAAAATTCAGTGAAAGTCACGCATAACCCATGAGGCCATGACCTATGCGACGCGAGCGAAAAGTCGAAAATAGAGCTACTAAACTCTGCAAACGGAAGGGATAGTTATTCACCATCGAAATGTAGATAGTACTGGCCAAACTTACTCTGGAAAGGAAAAAACCTGGAAACTCGTCATACGCGGGTTACTGACAGTCACTCCTATTACGGGCAAATAAATTCTTGGTCAACATCTATAATACTCACAATCTAAAGCTCTTAAACGATCCTGGTTTAGCTAAAATTTCGAAGACGAGGCCCTTTTCTTTGTTGTTATAATGAAGGAGCGAGTTTTGTTATTGTATCTGACAATGATAATATTCATCAACGTGTTGTTTAACAAACACCAATTATTTTCAAGGTTTGCTGAGCACCACTAGCCATTGATGGAAGAATAACGCGATGCGGCTGATCAACCTCGATGGAGATGTCACACACTGTGAAAAAATGGTAACTCAAGACGAGTGTCGCTTCAAATGTGCCTGAACCTTCTCCAGAATTTTGGCAGCAAGCTTATGGGTTATGTACCGCGTGTTGTAGTCGAAAGAACAGAGCAATTCTCTGCGGAATGTTTGCAAGCAGAAGACATTATTGGTTTTCAATTTGTGAATCGACGTGCTCCGCCGGATCTCAAGGGCTTTAACATGAGAATATTCAGCTCCTTCCGATTGAAGGAATAATTTTGTGACGTTGCCCATATTGGAAATCTTGAAGACTGTCGGGCAGATGATATTGTAATTGTAAAAGTCCTCGGATTTCTGTGCAGCTGGAGAGACTTCTGCTTCTAGTATATCCATGAAGAGCGTCTGTTTGATGTCCAAGTAATCGTGGAAGACCTTGTGGAACTGGCGGGCACTTTCCCACACATTGGTGGGACAATCCTTATCAACCGTGAATATTATTCGTTGCCTACCTACGTGCGGTCCGTAAGATTTCTCAGACTCAGAGTCCCAGTATCTTCTCTCATTTACGTCGTGGAAAGAAACAATTTCATACTTTTCCGAAGAAACTCCTGCTTCTTGAAACAACTCGACAAATGCGCTGTGCAACACCGAGCAGAATCCTGAATGCACGCTCACTCCTTCTGATTTCGTTTTCTTTATAAATTTTGTAGTGGAAGCCTCGTCAAATTTGATGAAGAGTGTTTCTGTTTTCGGATCAGCTACCTCATCCTTTGGAGGGAAAACCTTGGTGAGGAGAGATTCGGCCGCAGCAATAGCCGCATAATCATCACGCATTTTACATTGCAAGTCCAAGTTCGTGCTGAGGGTGAGCTTGGCTTCTTCTACAAGCTTATCGTGAAACTCTGGCCCCACGTAATCAGCAAACTGTTCGTTGTCGTCGACTTCGTTCCCTTCAAGTTCAGAATTGAGTAAAGACAGAAAGTGACCACACAATCGCATGGATGAGTGGCCGTCGGTGATGGAATGATGCAGTCCGAACATCACTCTATAATGATGCTTGAACTCTGCATCAGGAGTCGGCCCGTCCTGAGCTGGCATGACCGTCACGCGCCATAACGGCCCCACTTTGGCATCGTAGGGCTTGCGGGTCTCTCCAATGTACACAGCGTCGAAATCTTCTGGAGAAGTCAGCCACTGCACAAAAGGAAAACCTTGATACCAATTTGAAAGAAAAAGACAACCGAGCGCGACTAAGAACTGTAGGAACACGAAAATAGATATTACAAACGCTGATAATGCAAACAATCTTGGATGAATTGGACAAAAATATTATTAAAACAGTGTAGAAATATTCAGTACAATCCATTCCATGTTAGTTATTTTCTTGGTTCATTATTATAATCTTTAAACTTGCTGAAGAAGTTGCGCGACTTCTCCCACATTTAGACTCAGACTTCAAATGTTACCTCCAGGAGTATGATTTCTTGAGCCATGTCAAACAGCCAGAGCTCGCAATTTTCGTCCTCTTCGATGAGCACGCGTAAGTTTGGCATTTTCCTGCCAATAAAATCATATCTTTGAGGAATATATGCTTCTAAAAAAGATATTGTATAGAGTTTTGATAAATTCTGTTACCCGGTGAATATTATAAATGTCCTCAGATTACCTACTTTATGTTCAATAATCTGGACCTCCCTGCTGTAAATTTTTTCATGGTAAAAAGGTTATAATATATTCAAACCTGTACAGGTGCAGGAGGGCCGAGTGCACGGAGTTTCGTTGTAGAGGGCGCTGAGTCCCAATAGTTAAACAATAAACCGATAAATTCATCTTATGATTGTTAGAATAATGAAAATATTTCTCGATAGGTCTGAGCTTGCGTAATTTGCGCTTCTCGGAGTCACTAGAATGCATGACCAGTGCTTATAGAAGCTGAATCTCTTGTAAGTCTGGAAGTCTGAAACGAAAATTTTTGTCTGAGGCTGTAATCTCTCTAAAGTCTAAACGAACTTTGAAACCATGGACGTTCTGGATTGAATAATTGGCAAAAAATTCTGAACGAAAATAAATGGTTAGAATGACCCATCAAGAGTCTCACAGAGCCTGACTAAAATGATGCAGGAAGCCGGAATATTCGCCATTATTATACGAGGAAATTAAATTGTCCCGTCCGATAAAAGTTATCAATCCTGGCAATAATTGTGTAGCGAAATTAAAAAATTGCGCCCCAAATATTATGAAACGTTACGGTAAAGAAGGATCGAAACAAGACGTTACTTACGATGCGAGATAAAGCGAGATATTCCGCGCGGATTAACGATTACACAATTTAAACTATTGAGCATTGATGGGCTGAGTTGACGACATTTGGCTGAAAAACCAACTAGACAGTAAATTTTAATAGACAAACTTGACTATGTATATCAGGCAAAATAATTCTATCATTTAGCCTTTCTCTCATAATATATGATAGTTGACACTCTTCCATCATTCGCGGGCTATAGAGAGAAACGTACGAGGTAAGCACGCATTTCAAATGTAATGGTGTTTGCTCGGGTCTGACCGCTATGATGCGGCTGTCAGAAAAGCAAAAACTTACTTTCTCCAGTACCTCAAATTTGCTACCATTTTCGATGGACATCAGCAGTATCGTTTTACTGACAATAATACTCAAAATTTTGATCCATAAGAAAATAATTTTGGAATACTCATTTAGATTTCATTTTAAGGATTAACTAGTGTCACCAAGTATCGTCACAGTTATGTCCCGCCAATAAGCTGGACAATTCAGAAAATGTTTAAGCTCCTCAACAGTCTAGGACATCTTGTCTCGGATTTCCAAGGAAAGTTTAAATTTCTCAGATTTTTATTGATAATTGGGACAAAGCTTATACGAGTACAATCATCTCGTCTCCTCTTAAAAAAAAATAACCAAGCGCATATGCTTTGAGTAGATGGGTGCTTAGCTATGCGGTCTCCCTATGCCACATTGAAATGATTTCCTAAAATTTTATAATTAACATTAAAATGAGATGCATTATACCTGAAATGGAGTGCAATGTAGTGAGTATGTGGATATCTATAGATTAAGACTAGTAGTCATATATAGTGCGGCAAAGCTGAGAGCGGATGCGAAGCCGTAGACCGGCAAGCATCCATGCACTGAGCGCGGGGTATTCGCGACCATCTTGTGAAATACTCGATCGGTCCTAAAATCGGCCAGTTGCTACTCTTGAGCTTGTAGTCTTTGTAGTCTTTTAGCCCTTTTCTTGCGGTAACGGGTGTCTTTCAGGTAGCCGAGGAATGGCTAGCGGTCGGCTAGAACTAATACTTGGCTTCTGCCGACCTCAGGCCACGTATCACTCATTGAGTCGCCCCTCATTGAGTTCTCTGCATCGCCCGTCTTGGACTGACAGGTGAGGAATTGAGTACGATATCTGTTTCCCCTCATATCTTCTACAACGCGTGCATTTGAGCAGGTAGTATACGGGGTTTCTACTCCACATGAGAGTGTGCTTGTATATAACTCGTTTTTGGTGAAAAATATCATTAAAATAGAGGTTGATTCAGATATGCATTCAATACCTACCGATCAATAGAGAATAAATAGTACTACTTCCTTGTGTCTCACAAATTTTAGGCAAGTCGCATGTAAAATGAAGATCGATTTTTAACATAACTATCATAACTGATGTTGTACAATATTTACATATATTTTCTTTTTGTATAGAAAATGCAAATAAATTGCTGAATATTCATGAAAAAATTTCAGATTGAGATATCATTTACTAGCGTAGATTATACCGAGTCACCGTAGTTGACGGTTGTAGACTCGTAGCCATAGAATTCCATAGGGCACCATCCGAGCCTGCCTGAGGGTTCGCGGTTCTCACTGAGCCTTATTAATATATCTCATTAGTCATTACCAATGATCGAGTTCCTAGTAACACAAGAGCACACTTGTGTAGATCTGCAAGTCATCGACCGTTGACACTTCACTGCACTGGACAATGTCAATGGTCACGGTAGATTAATAGCAGTTAATTGCACATAGAAGTAAATTCACTTGATCTTAATCTCTCCATTCAAATTTACTCAAGTACACGATTGAATTTAGGTAGTAATTTTAATTACAACTGATTACCGGCTACGCACGAAAAAACGCGCAATCCTAACCACATGAATGACCTTGCGCTTCTGCTTCAGCTGCACTCGAGTTCAACAAATGTTATGGCACTCTTGGTGTCGTGGGGCTCGGCAGCGCAGTGAAGGGAAGTTAGAGGCTAGAGAACACAGTAATCAGTAACTGGGAGATGCGTACGATAACTGCTGTTTTCAATGGTCGCGTACGACAACTGCTGTATTCAATTGTCGCGTACGACAACTGCAGCATTTCAATGGTTCAACTAAAGGTTCGCCCACCCTCACAGAAATTTTCCTCTTCATCTGTAATATCATTATGTACGTTATATAAGATCATACCGCTAGCACCGTGATGAAAATAGGACCTGATTTAAATAAGGTCTAATGTTCCTACAATTTGACTCTTCCCTTAAAAAAAAAAACCAACGATCTTCTACTAATTAAGAGGCTTAACCGATAGTTTTCTTCATCTTGGGACTGCCGTATATCCGTTTTACAAAATCCAATAAATTAAAGTTTGAGAAGGAAATAAAATTTATTTTTATTTTATTGTCGTCTTCCCACTTAACCCGTTGCGTGCGCTACAACTCACCGGTGTGCTCTGCTCGTATCGCATTCAACGGGTAAATAATGAACTCCTTGAGGTTTTACATCTAAAAACTTTTCAATATTTCGTAGCTAAGAAATCACTGCATTTACTTGCACAATGAGTATATTTAATTGCTAAATCATTTGTCGTCGTGGGTCCTTGATCCAGGTTGTTTTTTCACATATTCACACCGAAAAAAGGTAATTTTCCAGCTCATCAGTTTAATATTTTAATTTAATTATGAATGCCGATGCGAGTTATGTTCTATAGTATATAAAGTGAACAACTCATTAAAAGTAACGACTCTAGTTTAAAACCTAAGAATATCTATGTTTCAAGGTCTTGAACTGTTGGACAATGATTCGATGTTTTCAATAATAAGTTCTGTTAAGAAATGGACAAGCCACAATTAAAGGTAATAAAGTTTAAAATCCAACAATTATGAAAATTAAAAAAAATTATTGCAGTAAATAAAAATCAGCTTAGTAAAACAACCACGGCAAAATAATATTGTTTCACGAAGTCAAGAGTCACCACAAATAAACCATTAACGATCATACCATAACTAAGTCAATAGCTGACCCAAATGAAGCTATCTTTTCTACACAAATGTTTGTATAAAAAAACTTCCACACCTTTGAATTTAACCAAATAATAATTTTAATATAATTCATGCAAATTTAGTTTGGAGGCATTTTTATGTCGTTATCATTGATCTCTCGCTATTATTTCGCATTTTGTAAAATCAATTTTCCAACTATTCATATCGTAAAATTCATATCATCGGAAGAATCGTCATTTCAATTTTCAAATAGAAAGCATTTTAAAACTACTTTAGTGATGAGTTAATTTACTTTATTTCCGCTTCAACCGTTCAACTGCACCACGGTGATAAAAACCAAGGTTTTTACAAGCTAATGCATGAGCAAGATGTTAGTAAAAATTTAAATGCGTAATTCAAGACAAATGGCGCAGAAAATGGGCTCGGACTTTCTCAACAATTCTGTTAGCAAGCTCAGTTGAAATATACCGCGTATTGTAATCAAAAGAAACAAGCAACTCTCCGCGGAATGTTTGGAAACAAAAACCGTTATTATTCAAATATGTGTGTAATGACGTGCTCCGCCGTATCTCTGTTGCCTTCACCTGAGGATATTCAGCCCCGTCTGGTGCTAGGAATATTTTGGTGACGTTGCCCATGTTCGAGGTGCTATAGACGCTTGGGCTGGAAATTTTCTGACTGTAAAAGTCTGTGGACTTCTCTACAGTAGGAGAGACTTCAGCATCTATAATTTCCATGAAGAACGTCTGTTTGTTGTCCAAGCACTCGAGGAAGACCTTATGGAACTGGCGGGCGCTTTCCCACACGTTGGAGGGACAATCTTTGTCAACGGTTAAGATTATTCGTATCAGAGATAAATGTGGGCCGTAAGATTTCTCCGACTCAGAGTTCCAGTATCTTCTCTCATTCACGTCGTGGAAAGAAAAGATGTCAAATTTTTCAGAAGAAGCTCCTGCTTCTTGGAACAACTCGACAAATGCGCTGTGCAACACCGAGCAGAATCCTGAATGCACGCTCACTCCTTCTGATTTCGTTTTCTTTACAAACTTTGTAGTGGAAGCCTCGTCAAATTTGATGAAGAGTGTTTCTGTTTTCGGATCAGCTACCTCTTCCTTTGGAGGAAAAACCTTGGTGAGGAGAGATTCGGCCGCAGCAATAGCCGCATAATCATCACGCATTTTACATTGCAAGTACAAGTTCGTGCTGAGGGTGAGCTTGGCTTCTTCTACAAGCTTATCGTGAAACTCTGGCCCCACGTAATCAGCAAACTGTTCGTTGTCGTCGACTTCGTTCCCTTCAAGTTCAGAATTGAGTAAAGATAGAAAGTGACCGCACAGTCGCATGGATGAGTGGCCGTCGGTGATGGAATGATGCAGTCCGAACATCACTCTATAATGATGCTTGAACTCTGCATCAGGAGTCGGCCCGTCCTGAGCTGGCATGACTGTCACGCGCCATAATGGACCCACCCTCGCATCGTGGGGCTTGCGGGTCTCCCCAATGTACACAGCGTCGAAATCCTCTGGGGAAGTCAGCCACTGCAAAAAAATTAGATCAGTACTCACTGCAGTGAGTGACGGACAGCGCATTTTCTCGTGCATAAATCAGTTGAAGTACTTCTTTCCGTGGCGCAAGGAAGGCAAAGTCCTGTATTAAGGATCTGAGACCAAGACCTGCGTCAAGTTACATATTTTTGGAGAGGCAAATCTTCAGCCAATCTCAAACTATAATCTAAATCACGACACGTTTTAAAGTATTCTTAAAATCGTGAACGACGTGAAGTCATGGACAGACGGACGGACGGACATGACAAGCACAATAGCGCCTTTATTCCATAAAGGAGAAAATGCGCTAAAAAGTGATATACCAGAACAGAAGGCATGTTAATCGAGATCGATTCGAAACTTTGGGGGAAAATGAAGATAGAATAAAAATGCACACAAATGCGTGAAATTTGGCCAACATATTGTATAAAATGTGAAAACTACTTTCAGACAATTAATAATCGGCAATGGGCTTCAATTAGTGCTCAAAATAATTTTAGTTCAGTCAATAGCGATGTATTTACGATGTAAATAAAATGTTACCTTCAGAAGTATGTTTTCTTGAGCCATTTGACACAGCCAAAGCTCGCCATTTCTGTCCTCTTCGATGCACACTCGCAAATTTGGCAGTTTCCTGTCGTGAAAGAATCCATTGTTTATTGAGGAACATTTCTTTCTCATTAAGGAACATTCCCATGTAGAAAATTGCTTGCTTATAGAATTATCTTTTTATAGAAGCAGAATGAAGTAACACTATTCTGTAGTAAAATTTATACACTTTGAATTGTACATACAGTAGCAAATGAGTGTACTTTTGGCCTCCTCAGATTATGAGTCATCGATGACAATGAGGCATCATGCCTCGTTGCTAAATTAATTATGAACTGTGGAAACTAAATCCTAAATCATAACAAGTTCTGGACTGCAATTTTATCCACTCAAATACGACAATTTTTTTATTAAAAAACTGAAATTGGAAAATATTGGTAGTGATTTCTGAGTGCATCGTGTTCATCATATGAAAAATAAACGATTTCAGCTCTCTAGATCTTATTCCAGTCGTCCTCGATAAGTCGATATCATGGTAATCATAGTACAAATATTATAATATCCTCTAACCTGTACAGGTGCAGGAGGACAGAGTGCACTGAGCTTCGTTGTAAAGGGCTCAGAGTCGCAATTGTTAGGCAGTAAACCGTCACATTTACTGTATGATCGTTGGAAAACTGGAAAAATTTCTCGATTGGGCTAAGCTTGCGCAATTTACGCTCCTCGAAGTCACTCGATGTAGCCATGGCTGACGGAAGTTGATACTCTTTCGTACCTCTGGCAGTCTGCAAAAGAAAGAATTTTACCGCTTTAATCTCGGTAAACCGAATTTGAAATATATATTCTTCTAACAAAGCTTCGGATCAAATCTACTCGATGGAAACCTGTGGTTAAAGTGATTCAAACCAAGGTAGATTCACAAAGATTCAATTAATTACCTAACAAGGCGGAAAAATAATGAACGAATACTTATCATGGTTCATGATAAGCAAAGTAACTGGCATCAAGGATCTTGGCTCATTAGCACGATAAGAACCAAGTTCATCGTCGGCCATCAGATTCTCATACATGGTACTCGTAATAAGATTAGTTATCAGCTTCTAAGAGGCTTTGCAGCCCAAGTATAGAATTGAAAGAACGTAAAACTATGTATGTAAAGAGTCATCTTTAAGATTTGCAGTTCTATCGTCATTTAGCGAGTCACTATCAGTATCATATGTGAAGGTGTCGGCGCTTTGCAACACGGGCTACTCAGGCCACGTAGAAACTAGAAAACACGGCTTAAAATAGGTATCAAAAACATTCTCAAACATCTTAGACGACTTGAAATAAAAGACTCAAAGCGTGCACATGTTTTACCAACTAGATTACAATTAGAAAAATTTTGGTGCTCGGCGTGTTATTCAACAAAAGCATCCGGAAGTTAACGTCTCTCTTAGACCACTGCATTGAACGCCAACATCGCACTGCATACTTACGTACCGCGCTACAACCCGCGCTACAACGTACACTGCATACACTTAGAGTCTTAGACCAACGTCTCATTGCATAAACCTCCCGACTCCAACTTGAATTGATCGTGAAATCATTCTTCGCATTCAAAATTTCACACATTTGCACGTTTTAATTCGCCCCCTGTTACCAGTGCTGACATTATTGTTCTATAATAAAGATATACAAACCGCATCGACGCATGCCCTACCTTACGAGTGGCCTCACACATCTGCAACATCCGTACTCCGTCGGGCGTAGAAGTGTACAAACTGAAAGCGCTCGAGAAGCTCGGCAGCACATATATGGACATTATACGATCTGTCAGCAGCTGATAGACGTGTACGACAACTGCAAAGTCCTCGTAGAAACAATGTCGCCGTTGCGTTCATGCTTGAACTATACTAGTTCAACCATGGTTGCGCTATATATATGTCTCTAACGCAATGCCGAGGTTAGAATCAGAACTACATAATCGAAGTAAATGTTCAATGCTACTTCATAATACTACGCGAACAGTTTCGCAAATTTCCTGTTGACATGGCGCAACTTTTGCTACAATAGAAAAGTTTTTCAGCTCGAGAATTCGTTGTCCACAATTAAAACAATCTCGTGGTCCCTTATCCTCAAGGTAGTAATTTTTTTATTTTCAACTAACTCGAATGTCAGAAGGTCAAGAAAAAATTTAGCGACTGACACAATGACTTGATGAAACTTTTTATTAATCCTTTTATTATCCTGGTAAATGCGATCTAGTCGAATTGATCATGACGATAAAGCATGATGGTGATGACATTTATTGTTTAGGTGCTGAGTGCGCATCATTTTCATGACGAAATCGGCATCAAAAGTTTGTGTCGAAATGTGTACAAATATTCAAGTTCATTTGAATATTTTTCATTGAAGAACAAATTCATGTTGAGTATTTATCCTTCCAGTTTACAAGCAGGAGTAAATACAAGACCCTGAGGGTTGGAACGTGGCGAGTGCAGCAAAGCCAAAAAATAAGCTCCGATTCCCACAGTGTATTTCTGAATGAGATGTCGTTCGAGGTAAAATAGTTAAAGGGTGCATTTAGAGGTGAAAAATAGTCATTTAGTCACCATTTTATTAGATTACGTGTATTTTTCCGAAACTGTTGATGAACTGTTATCATATCTCTATGCATTCGAAGAAGTTGATATAATGATACTATAGGATACCCTCGGTAAATGATTCCATATTTCTAAAACACCGGATTGAATAAATTGTCCTTGCGAAATTTATAACGTGTATATAGGAAAATGCCAAGAAAATCCATCATAATTGAAAACCTTATTATAGTTGCTTTCCGAAATTTTTCGAAGAAATTATAATGCATTTACTTGGAGTTTACTTGGTTATTCAATTATTGCTGGATGACATGCTACATGCCCTATCATTTGGAACTGACCAGGTAAATGAGTTTGGTACACAAGGCCAATAATTCATGTCAGTCTGAATTTTAATGAAGATTGATTAACCTAGCCAATCAGTATAGCCGTTAATTAGACCTCATATTGGCTGGGTTGTTGCATACAGGATTTCTCCTATAAAAGGTTCACCGCCGAACTCTACACGTAAATGTCATATACCTGCTAATTTTTTCACTTCAAATAAAATAATATATTTTTAACACTTACTCGTTTACATAAGATGTATGCTGTTGTTAATTTTACAAATCATCAGTTGTAGCGAAATAAAATTTTGCTCACTGCATTGAATTCAGTTCTTGTACGTTGTATTCTTTTTTTTCAGACGGCGGAATGTGGAATTACTCTTGATGAACTGGCATTGCAAAATCATCTCAGCGACAATTATAGAGATAATCAGCTAATAAAACTTCACCATCTTGCCTAAAAGCCGAACAATCAAATTTGTGCGTTCGAATTTCTACGAAGCTTAATGCGAGCTTTGAAACCATCTATCAATATTTAAATTTATCAGTATAAATTTCATATCCCGAAATGGCTCATTGGGTCCTTCGAAAGCTGAGATTCGTAAGTGTCACCCAAATATCTTTCGATGATTTTAACCGGAATGTTTGCGATCTTACTGCTGCATCCTGTGAAAGCACATGCGACAAAATTGTGAAAGCAATGCGACAAATTTCGCAACCTAAAAATACAAGCCAGACAACGTGACAAAGGTTCTTCATCTGCTCGAGATGAAGCCGTTTTACATTTGCATGGACTCGGTTCGTGAAATTTTTCCCGCGTGAAATTTTTCCCGCCAGCTATGGAACCATAATTCATAATTAAAAGTAAAACAAAACTACTATGCCATGAAAGTCCTTCAGCTTGCGTGTTATGAATTCACACAAGTGCCCATTGTCCAAGATCAAATTTCAGAGATTTGCAGACGAAAATGCCGGCGCACAGTTACAAGGACAGCACGCTTATAGCTACTGCTTCGTGAAGATTCGCTTTGACACGACGCCGTCCAAAGTCATGGTCTGTAAAACAGAAAAATATTGAACGGCTCTGATATATATGCATATTAATTATTAAAATATATGTCCTAGGATAACATCCATCACATTCATTGAGAGCCATGGTAAATAGAACATATGTATATATAATTGAAGGCTCTTGTTTTTTATTTATGGAAATATATGTCATGTATCACATTCACAACAATCATTGACTTGAGAGTCTCCGTCTGTAGAATATGAAACGAATTAAAAATTTCCGTTTATTAATTAGAAAGATATTCGTTCTACAATACATTAATTTCAAGACCTCAACTTGTTTATGACGATCAGTATCATGCAACAATACAGTACGCAATTATTTGTACATCAACAAGTGATGGCAATGAAGTTGTATCGATTGAGACATTTCACTAGAAATACTGGAAAATGATATTTTAGCGTTTACGGTATAAAAGGATATTGCGAGATGGCTCACTTAATACTGATTCAAAGTGCAATTTAATTCCTATGCTTTAAGTTAAAAATGAAAAAAATTAATCAGTTTTAAGAGTGGCTGCAACGCAAGACTTGAAATCCAATTTACATATTCACGCATTTCCTAAGCGTTGCCTAAATTCCACGCAGCACTCACCCTGGTCAAGGTATCACCGATGAGTTCAGCCGATGACGTACCAGTTTTGTTCTCAAGGCGATATGTTCCTTCGTATCCGTTAGGCGTCTTCGACGCCTTTACCTGTTAATAAAAAGGTGATCTAGAAAATTTCCTCCCTATAAACGGATATGAGTTTCTTTATGATGAGCGCATTTCTTTTGTAGGAAGTGAGGAATAAATATTCGTTTTCGTTATTTCTTAGTTACAACGGATTTCTCGTCATTCAAGCATTGATTCCTTCGGAGAACGTGAGCGACCATCATCAGAAGTACATTCTAGTCTGTATATTAATTGACGGATGAACCCACGTAATACTTGAAACCCGCGACATCGACGAGAGATTCTTGGCCGTAGGTCACGACGTTGGTGTAGGTGTCGCCACCGTGGCCGTACGTGATAGTCACGCCAGACGTAGTTTCTTGCATTTCCAGCGTGGGTGTGCTGGGGCACATCTTGCGAATCATGGAATCGTTTACGCCTGAAATTGAAAAGTAGTTGTAATTAAACGTCTCATATAATATCATGAAATAGGAAAAATTTTAATACAAAAATAATAAGAGGCCGAACAGCTCTAGGCAATGGTTCCTTAGCCCAAATATTTCCTATCATGTGTATATTTCCTAGACAGTAAGCGTTGTCTTGCAGTAGAGAAGTTACTTTACGATATGGAATGCAGTGATTCCCAAACTGGCGGTAAATCATCTCTTGTGATAACTTGTAGAATTTTTTGGACCAATAGAGGGTTGTGAAATATCATTAGTGTGGACACCGCGGCCGCGGGCGCCGGGACCTCGTCCGAGAGACCACGTTTCAGACAAATTTACGGCCGAACTTGCGGCCGATCTCGCGGCCGCGGTGTCCAAATTCAGTGTACCTGGAATATCTCCCAAAGTACTGAGCGTAGCTCGATGAAACCTTGTACACGTACGTATTCATTATGGCCTGACGGTGATGTCAAGCTCGTGACAATTTTTTTAATATCGCCTTCATTCGTGAGTTTATGACGAAACGTGCCGAAATTTGCAGTGTACCGGCCATTTCTTTCAGAGTACTGAACAGATGTGAAGGAAATTTTGAATATGAATTTCTGAATACTAAACGGTGATGTTTAACTCATAAAAATTTTTTACGTTTTGCCTTCGTTGGCGAGTATTTTTCCCTTTTCCCTCATTCGTGATTTGAACAACAAAATTGTGCTTAAATTCGCAGTGCACCAGAGATTTCTTCTAAAATACTGAACAAATTTGAACGAAACTTTGCATATATCTCCGTCAGGCAATAATGAATACGTGTACCAAGTTTCATCGAGCTACGTTCAATACTTTAGGAGATATTCCAGGTACACTGAATTTGGACACAGCGGCAGGGGGCCGGCCGTAAATTCGTCCGAGACGTCTTGAGACCCCTCATATTTTAGAACTTTGCATGTTATCAAAAGGTAAACCCCCATCATCTCAAAATGATGACAGTTGCACGTTGATATTTTTGTCATTAAGCGTCCTTAAGAAGCCATGTAGCACTTTCCACAACTCTATTTAAGACCAATAAATGCTTCTATAACTTATCAATTCTAGAACTATATAAAGATCAATTTTCATCTTATCAAATAAAACTCTAAATCTTGCATTTTCTTTACCTGCTGCTTTTAGAAATTCTTCAAAATTTTCATCCCTGCAGTGTGTGTACGAGCCAGACAAAGACATTGCGAGATATCGGAGCAAGAGTGTTGTGTGAACGAAAGGCGAAACAGCTACTACGATTGGGTCTGAGCAAGAGTTGTGTGAACGAAAGTCGAAACAGCTACTCTTGAGTCTGAGCAAGAGTGTTGCGTGAACGAGGGGCTAAACAGCTTTTCTTCTACCAGAGAGAGTAGGTATTGCATTAAATAAATTCAAAACCGCTTCGCTTGAAGACACCTGTAGGGAGAAGTCAGCTTCAAACGAAATTGTAGGTGGCGCTTCCAAGTTAAAAAATCGACGTCTGTGCCAGCGCAGATTGATGTTGCAGGGTTGGAATTAACAGCACCAGTCGGGTATCTTATGATCACAGAGTGTCACTCGAATTAATTACAGTTCAGTCATAAAAACGACAGTATGGCATCAAGCCGTTCAATGTCGATCTGCTGGCTAAGATCATCTGTGTCAGTGCTATTCTTATAACGCGCAGAGGCACGCGCGGGTGCAATGCCCGACACCACGGGAAAGCCTAAACTTTTATTAATGGACACGGTTTTAACGTACAACTCAAACTCAGTTTTTCATTCACCGATGTAAATGAAGATATTTTAAATGATAGAAAAGAATGAGGAATTATTTCACTATAAATATGTTACACTAGATAACATTTTCCTATGTACACACTTAGTCAGATTACTACCAATTTGAAATGATTAGATGTCAACATGATGATACCATCAAGCTACATTAACCCGTTCTTAAGTTTTAAACAATACAAAAACTTTAACTTTTATGGTGCTAATCTAATTATTTCTATTCTTCCCTCTCACTATTTTATTGCGGTGTTTTATACTTTCAAAAACCTGAAAATAGGTATCTCACGGACAACAACATTCTAATGAGATGTGTCCTATATATTAGACGGCAATCACCGCAACATAACTGACAATTAAACACAATCTGCTTCATGTAATTATGAACGCGACAAACTAACGGAACTGAAGCAAGGAGATACGTTTTTTTACTGAAATTAATGATAGGCCGAAAATAGGCCTTAGTGGCCGGACTCTGGCCGGATAAATGCGTTCACTGCCGCAGTGGCCGGGACACTGGCCAGAAGGAGCGTTCAGTGCCGCAGTGGCCGAGATCCTGGCCAGAAGAAGCGTTCACTGCCGCAGTGAGAGACACTGGCCAGATTGGGTGTTCACGGCCGCAGTGATCGAGACACTGTTTGTTTGGCTGCGCCGATGAAGCCAAACAAACATGCGCCTTGCTAGCACAGAGGCCGTGTCGGCGCCGATAAACCCAGCATTGATCCGTAACCTGGTCATCGATGTCGTTTTATCAAGTCATGGCAGGAAGCTAAGCTTGTTTGCTCGGTATGTTACACAGCGTTCCCATGACATGCGATTGTAATGGCAATGATTTCATGTTTGCAAATTATTAGCTTAATCATATTTGAGTTTTATAAATGTATTATTTGGAAAAATTATTTCAAGATCGAATACCTAGAATGAGGAGACGATTCCATTATTATTCCTTAATACTACTCTATATTTCCCACGACGAAATAGTCGTATATATCTTTCATACACAATTTTTCTTTAGGATTTCCAAAAATTTAATACTGATGCTTAATTATTGATATGAATTAACACAATAGTCTTTTCATATCAATAACGAAACCAATTTGAGTTGCTATAAAGTTAATATTTATCGTTTACGAGATTTTATGTACGGTTCCGCACTGTTGAACGACATGCTACCCAAGAACTGAGAAAATGTTCATTAATTTTTCACTTATGCATTCACTTTATATCTATCAGTTGAATAAAATATCATTCAGAAACAGCGTCGTTAGGGCGTCATAAAGGAGGATATAAAGCTTCATCTAAAACAGTGGTTCCCAAAGTGGGCGATATCGCCCCCTAGGGGCGGTGGAAAGATTTTGGGGGGGCGGTAAAGAAGAAGAGGGCGATAGGGGGGCGATACGGGGGGCGGCAGTCTGCAGTCGAAGTCAGAAGTTCGAACGTTTGTTTGACGATTTGTTCACATCGCGTGCAGCACATAACTCCCGTCAATGATTTTTTCACCCAGATCTGTTTTTAGAGCATTTTCTCATTTACGGAAAAAATGCACTATTGTGCTCGCCATGTCCGTCCGTCTGTCTGTCCATCTGTCCGCCTGTCTGTCCGTCCGTGACTTCACGTTTTCGTGGACGAGAAAATGCGCTTTCTGTCACTCACTGCAGTGAGTACCGAGTTATATTTTTTAACCTCTCCTAGGTTTACGTCTAGGACAAATTAACTGCCGGACTCGCGGCCGGTCCCACAGCCAATTTCCAAATTCAATGATCAAGAAATATCTCTCAAACTAATGAACTTAACTCGATGAAACATGGTACACGTATTCATTAGGACCTAACCGTAATGTAAAGCTCGTGAAAATTTTTTTAATTTTGCCTTCAATTGTTTTTGCCATAATTATATGGCAATGCGGGCTGAAATTCACAGTGATCAAGGAATTTCTTCAAAACTACTGAACAGATTCGAACGAAATTTTGAATTAACAGTCCTATATAATTACCAAACGGTGATGTTTAGCTCGTGAAAATTTTTTCGATTGTACCTTCGTTCGCGAGTTTCATTCGTGATTTAAACAGCAAGACGTGCTTTAATTCGCAGTAATCAAGATATTTCTTCCAAACTACTGAACAGATTTGAACGAAACTTGGTATTTGGATATCTAACCTCAGCAACGGTGATGTTTAGCTCGTTACAATTTTTTTAGTTTTGCCTTCTTTTCCGAGTTATACGGCTATACGTAAACGGCTCTTGGTTAAACCAGCCGGTAGAAAAGCCGGTCATTCCTCCTATATCTGTATAACTAGCGAACGAAAACGAATAAGGAAGTGTGAAATCATGAATGACGGTGAAATGAAAAAAGTCTCGCAAACGAAGGTGAAATCAAAAAAATTTTTGGAATCTAAAAAGCACCATTTGGTAGTTAGGAATGTATATTCAAAATTTCGTTCGAATTTGTTCGGTAGTTGAAAGAAATTCTTTGATCACTGTGAATTTCAGCCTTTATCGCAAAATAACTCACGAATGAAGGTGATATTTAAAAAAAATTCACGAGCTAAACATCAGCGATAGGTTCTGATGAATACGTGTTCCAAGTTTTATTGAGCTGCCTTCATTAGTTTAGGTAGGAGATATTACTTGAAAATTGAATTTGGAGATTGGTCGTGCGACCGGCCACGAGTCCGGCCGTAAATTTGCCCGAGAAGTCCTAGGTTTCTAGTGCTCAAAAAGTTAAAACAGCTTAAAAACATATTGGTTCACTAAAAAGGGTTCTATTTGTGAAATATACATTTGCATTTAACCTTTATCTTTCAAAATAGCAGCGTACTAAATTGTATAGAAAGGCGCATGATTTTATATGTGTCTGTGGGGGGGGCTAGAAATTCACTAGGGAGCCGAAGGGGGCGCCAGCCTGAAAAAGTTTGGGAACCACTGATCTAAAAAATGACACAATACAATCCCTATAGTCCCTTAACATCTGTAATCTGACCACAGAATCACAAGGCATTTCCGGTCCAGCGGTCCTGCGAGCTGGTCAAATAAATCTATCATGATCTCCTTAAATATATTTGTTTTCTTGTAAATTATCTCATTCCAAGTAACAAGTTACCAGTTTGGCTTGAACAGTATTCCACAGATATTGAGGAGCGCTCAGTCGGCTCGAAGTTAACATGTTTTAAAATACACGAAGAAGAGGTTGTCAAGCGCCTGGTAGCTCTAAATCCCAACGAGTCTTGTGGACCAGACGGCTTCCATCCCAGATTGCTCAAAGAATTAGCAACTGTTCTGGCCGGCCCATTGACAGTATTCTTTCAAAAAACCTTGAACGAAGGAACTTTGCCGTCCGACTGGAAAGAAGCTCAAGTAACACCATTGTTCAAAAAAGGTGACAAAAACAGCCACGGCAACTATCGCCATGTCTGTCTGACAAGTGTTGTTTGTAAGCTAATGGAATCTGTTGTGAGGGATAGGATTATCGATCACTTGACTGCTCACCATCTCAGTGGTTAAAGTTCAGAGTACCAAGATTGGAGCAGAGAGCCGCGGGTTCGATCCCAGCTCTGTGCGCCAGTTTCTGGTCAGAATCGGCAAGGAGGCCGGGCGGTTAAGCACAGCAGAATTGTAGCAGTGCGTTGCGAGTTCGAGACCGCAACAAGCTGTGGATGTTCTGCGATGTTAAGTATCGGCGACAGGCCTACGGCCTAATAAACGCTGAAACCGCTATTATTATTATTATTATTATTATTATATCAGATTGTCAACATGGTTTTATCGCCGGTAGATCCTGCACCACTAACTTATTATCTACGTTGAACGATTGGACTCGTCTGCTGGACGAAAGGGAGCCCGTGGATGCATTGTACCTCGATTTTGCCAAAGCATTTGAGAGTGTTCCGCATGAGCGACTGTTGCGTAAAGTGAAGTCTTTGGGAATTGAGGGAAACGTACTCCAATGGATCAGAGATTTTCTAGTAGGTAGACGACAACGTGTCAGTATTAACGGAGCCGTGTCGGACTGGGCATCAGTGCGCAGTGTCGTGCCACAAGGAAGCGTTCTTGGTCCTATTTTGTTCGTTGCTTTTATAAACGATTTGCCAGAAGCAGTCTCCAGCGTGTGCTCCATGTATACCGACGACACAAAAGTTTATAATACAGTGAAGGATGCGTCAAATAAAGCGCAATTACAAGATGATCTTGACAGTTTAGTTAACTGGGCTGATCAGTTGTTTGTTGCTGTCGTGCGCCCGAATCTAGAGTTTGGAAACGTTGTGTGGTCACCGAGATTTGAAAAGGACAGAAATTTAATAGAGAATGTTCAAAGACGTGCAACAAGGATAATTCCAGGCTTGAAGGGCAAGTCCTATTAAGAAAGATTGAAGATTATGAAGCTTCCAAGCCTCAGTTATCGACGTCTGCGTGGGGACCTCATTGAAGTATACAAGTATACTCATGGTTTATACAAGGTCCCCGAAGGATTACTAGAATTTGAAACAAGAACCAACACCAGGGGCCACGGCTATAAACTAAAAAAACTGCGCTGCAACTTCTCCACGCGGCAAAATTTCTTCTCGCTTCGAATCACCGACATTTGGAACAGAACAGCCTCCCCGATGACATCGTTGGCGCTCCAAGTATGAACGCGTTCAAAAACAGACTAGATAAAGCTATGGAAAAATATATGTTTAGATTTGAAATGCCTAGCAAAATATCGAACCCGGTGGAAGTCTAGTAGCTACATCAAACTATCGTCAGTCATGAAAAGATCCGGTCAAATGACACGATTTTTTATCTTCTGTGAACAAGGCACGAAAAGGAAAAGAATCGGCGACAGGCCACATCAGGCCTACACTTCAGCGCCGAGATCAATATGTTATGTTATGTTACATGTGATACGTGCAGATGCACGTATTTATATATGCGTAACTTATTAAATTGTGATCCGTTTATTATTCTATACTCAAAGTATCAAATAAAAAAAAACTGACGGGAATATTCTGTAGATCCTAGACTTTATCTCCATGAAAATAAGTGTATGAGTAACGATAGTTATTTGAAAGGTTCCAAACGTAGATAGAAAGACCCTCTAATGTTTCTTGCAAAATTTAGTTATATATCTTCAAAAATATTTACGCGATGACCAACATAAAATGCTCAGAAAAAGTCTTCTCTCAATTTCACGAGCATTCTCTACGTTAAAAAAAAAACATTCAGCGTTAACACTTCTTGTTAGCCATTCTTGGCTTGCAGCATTTGAGCAGAATTACCACAAATATCAAGCGAAGCAATCGGGCAATCTTCGTTGACCTCAAGCATACAATGGCGTCGCAAAGTTTCACACAGTTTTTCTTATTTTTTTATCGCTGAAATTGTATTTGGTTCCGAGTCTTTATGACGGACGAGAAAACTACGAATGCAGTATGTCAGGAAATAACAAACTGTTTCAAGTCCCATTTGATCTTTAAGAATAGAAATTTTCGAGAACTAAACATTGCAGAGATCTTACATAGAGAGTTTATTACGATTTTTGGCAGTCAAATTTAAAATCCATGGTTTCTGCTGACATACCGATAGTAATAAGAAACATGTTGCCAAATGAAAGCGCTGCCAACTCTGTCTGTAACGCCGCTGCCGTAATGAACAATCGTTTAATATAATTTTTGTTCTGAGCTTAGTTGCATGGAACATACCTAGGATTGTTTCTCGCAACACTTTTGATTGGAAGTATACCGGGTGAGGCAAAAAAATTTTTGTTTAGCTTAATTAAAATTTACGTTGGCATATGCATTGTGCAATGTTTATCTTCCAACGAGGGTCTCATATAACTCTTCTTCTTCTAGTTCTTGTTTAATGGGGGCTTCGAAGACACGTCCAAGTGGCCCCAAGACAGAAAGCTCCAGCATGCACAGCACACCTTTCAAAGAGAACAGGGTACGGCAGAGCCGCAGAACACAACAGAGCCGCTGGACACCTGGCCGGTGCTCTGCACATGAGTCAAGATTTCACAGTTCGGCAAACCGTGCGTTTGGCAGTTGAGAGGAACCGTGTGACAACAGCTGCTGCAAATTTTGTTTCGCCTTCATCTTGTTTGAAATTCATTTTCAATGTATAAACTAATTAAAGATACTAACATGCCAAGTAAAGTCACCTTCTGTGATAAATGTGAATTAAATGTTGAAAAAGTTCTTACGATGGAGTATCTGTCCGTCATACTTGAGATTCTGCCCTGAAAATGTTAAAGAAATCTCAAGGCCAAGTAAACCGGTTTATCTCGGTCATTTGTATTTAATTTTCTCCTGGTGATTTGAATATGGATTTCTTCATTATGTAGTAAAGATATAGAACCAATAATATTTTGCTTACTTAGTCAATGGTTGACCACATGGATAGCTTTTATTCGACTCTAAGCTACGTGTCAGATATATTGGCTATGGAGAGTGACAACAGCGATCTTTTGTTGCTGAATCTTATCAACTGCATGCGAGCCGAGTCAGACGAGACTACTCGGTCAGTCGGGTACCGGTTGCTGAGTGATGTCGTTATGTGACGCTATTCAGGTTATTGCTCAATGAAAACTTTCAATAAGCAGTGTTAGTGTTGCTAAAATCTCGCTCATAATGTACATATCACGGCAAGGTAGATCATGGATGATGTTAATCATTCTTTTTGGTAAGTATTTTCCCGTGTGCAATAATTTTCTATCATGGTGATTAAATTTCAAAACACTTATTCAGTTCAGGATATGTGGAGACTAAGCTAATGTTCATTTCTTAGTCCAAGGTCACAATAGTAATAGAACAGTATAGAATTGTCGGCAATGAGAAATAGGCCCATGGCCTGTTGCCGATTATTTTACTTTTCGTTACATGGGAATTCACCAGGGATCCGGCATTTTGAACCCGATCTTTCATCTTTCCATATCTGACGATTGTTTGAGATAGCTGCTGGACTTGATGTCGGATCCCGGGTAAGGTGCTAGGCATTTCAAGACTGAACATATGCTCCTGCACTGCTTTGACTAGTCTGTTCTTGAAGGAGGAAAGGTTCTAGGCATCTTTCCGTTCAATGAGCGTTCTTGATGACCTTTCACCCTTGACTACCAAAGTGTGTCGCATAACTAAATTATAGATAAATGCAATTTTTATAATCCGTAATAACTTCTATTCCTCACTATACAATTTCAGGTTGTATCGTCAATTTTTCAGATCGCCAATGACTGAGCTTGTAACAGTTAGCTGTTACTGTTAGTTAGAACCTACCTGCAGGCTGCAATAATTATGTTTTTTATTATTATTTTTTCAACTATAGGGAGGATTATTTCTTCGAACACAAAATTGCGATTTTGTTGAGGTTTGAACTAATATGACCCGAGCGTTATTTTAATACAGTTGGATTAATTGTATAACACTAAAGTCTATGCCATTAGAATCGCCAAAGACCTAATGCCAACGACTTTCAGAAAAAAAAACTATTTTATGAATAAAACTTAGCCACTTCCCTATAACAACGTATAACAACACTATATAACTCTATAACGTTTTTATGCGTTACTCAAACCCGACAAACGCGTAGTCTCACTTGTATTATATGGTTTTTATTGACGAGCATCAAGTTAGGTGCAGTACTGTATCTACACAGTGGCGACTCGTGTTAGACACAAATTGACGGTAGTCATTTCATGTTAGTGTCATAGCTCTTTACAGGCGTGGAGTTGTGTGCAGTGGCGGCTGCAGACGCCGATGGTCAATGCGATGGTGACGGCTGTGAAGAACGGCACAACGCCTGGACAAGTCAGGGTAAGTCTGATTAATAGTATGGGGCCGTGCTCTCATAAATACTTGAGAGTTCCGACAGTTAATCGCTGATTGCTTTTTTAGCTAACCCAACAATCACTGACTAGAAATCTGCCGCTAAGCGTACTAGAACTATTTTTTATTGAACGGACCCCGATGTATAATTATTAAACAGCATGTGTACATTGGCTACCTAACTTTGGTGGCTGCAGGCAGTCAATAGCGTCTCGTGAGTCCCTCTAGAAGTCTAGGTGGTTCAAACACGGCTAGATGTACAGACGTGTCGGTGTAGCCTTATCACCCAAGCTATAATGTATGAACGAATCGTTACACGAATTATCCGTTCATTCCATGTATCATAAATTTAATGAAGACGAAAAATCGCAAGTGCTTTCAAATCAGCTTGGATCCATTGCAATGCGCAGAACATCACCGAAAATAATGAAGTGCCTGCGTACGAATGAAAGGTCAAACTACTGCGCTTGCTTGAAACGCGGCCGAATCGGCACAACAGTTGAGACTCGAGAGGTCGTGGCTCTTCCCAGCTGGAGATCGGAATAGGGGGCAATGCTCGCTTACAGTTTTTTGATCGTCGATTATCATTTGCGTACCGACAATTATCATTTACTTACCGTCAAGTATCATTCACTTACCGTCAATCAGTACATACTTACCGTAAATTATCATTTAATTATCGCCAATCCTCATTTAGTTGTCACCTCGTATATTTGTGCTGTTATCATTAAGTAAAGTTACTCAACGATCGCGAATCCTAAAGAATGCTCTCAGTTAAGAAGATAAATAAGCAAACGTGAGGAAAAGTGCATTTCACCTCTTACACCAATCATTCAATATTATTCATCGCCTGACGTAGTCATTGGCCGACTCACAAACGAGTGCTGTAAATTAATTAGTCAAAATTATTCGTACCTAGTTTCGCACTGCCATGCCTTGAAGCTACGCCGCTCACTGAAATTTTAACCAGAATTGTGGTTCGCCGTCGCTTGGCATGGTATGGTTGGTACCCACCTCAGTATCTCGATATCGTGATGGTGCGACTGAAGATGATGAATCTTATCAGCGTAACTGTATAGCCATGCCATATTTTCTCATGGATCATCCAGAACAAAATAACACATCGCCAGTTTCCAGGCACCCAACATTCACATTTGCGAGAACCCAAACAGATGTTTGTATGAAATTAAAATGGATTTTTCTCAATTCGTGGCAACGCAAGCCGCTTTGAAAGAACGGCTTAAATTATGAATTAATTTATTAATGTGATGAAGTTATGCGTATAATTAATAGAAGGTTAAAATAAGCAGAGTACCGGTAATACGGAAAGATTGGTACCGAGAAAGTATATCGTTTTCTTAAGTATTTCAAGTAAGAAACTAAAGATGGGATAGGCGCCCTAAACTTGTTGACAACATAAAGACCCGTTTAGCTGCGGCTGCATTTATACGACTTTAGTTCGCATCCTCGTTGGCCATGAGATTTCTCACTTGCGAAATGAAACGATTTCAATTAAACCTGTAATATCACCTGTAAGCTAAAAATTTGCTTTTGTTGCCTAATGCGTGAGTGAACTAGCGAATGCGTTAGGTTTCAATGCATGTACAAATGTTTCTGTGCATAGTCAATATGGAAACTGTCCTACTACAGGCTAGGAGGTGCTATCGGCAATTTATTTCTTAGTGATCTTAGGTTCAATGTGATGGCCTATGGTGGCAGGAGAATGTCTGCAGGAGCGGATGGGGTGGGACAGTTTCGTGTGCGTATGCACCGCCTCGGTCTGCGACATGCCAGGCAGCATCCCGCACCCCCAGCAGACAGACGTGTACACGGTGGTCACGTCAGACAGACAACACCATCGGTTCCACGTCACGCACGGAACCATGTCTACTGCACCTACAGGTACTTTTCACGTAGCAATTAAGATATTAAGGCTGTAAATACGAGGTCCTTCGAAAATAATGTCGTGACAGCCTTCATCGTTACCTTACAGTCTAGTGCATTATTGCTGCAAGCATGCAGTCTACTCGACCAAACACTTCTCCTACGCAGGTCATCACTAATGATTGTAATAATTAATTCTGTATCTTTTACGATTTAGTGTTTTAACATTAATACACAATGGTAGCTGCTTTGGTGATTACCATAAATCACCTCTATTTATCATTTCGCCGCTTCGTTGTCAAAATTTACCTACTTATGCGTGCAAATTTTCAGGGCTTCCAGGGGCGCTCGTTCCTTTAATTGAATGGAACGATTCTATTACTAAATGACATATAAGTAACACTGAAATGCCATTCATTCTGTGCGTTGTTAACTTGTTACACATCACCGTATGTCGTCTAGAATGATTGGTTACTACTCGCGTTGCTGCTGATGTCGATTGCCTTAACCACAGTACGGTATATATAGAGCAGGATCTGCGTTGCTGAAAAACTTTTCTGAAGAACGCTATAAAACAATGTGACAGGCTCCTTGAAATAAAACCATGCGATATGGTAGCATGATAAACCTGAACCATGCTTGCAAAGAAGCGGCGACATCGTTTCACTCCGCGCGGCGTCGGGCCGCTAGAACGCCGGTCAGTCTGGCTAAACTGTTTTTAGCGCATTTTCTCATTTATGGAAAAAAGGCGCTATTGTGCTCGTCATGTCCGTCCATCCGTCTGTCTGTCCGTCCGTGACTTTACGTTTTAGTCGACGAGAAAATGCGCTCTCTGTAACCCACTGCAGTTATATATGCACTCTGAGTTATGCTTTTTCGCATTTATTTCGTTCAGCGTAACAGAGAAGCTATATACTTAACTAGCCGCTTGTTAGCCTCGCCCCGAATTCCCTCCACTGCAGGAGGCGGCCACGTCGTGCACCTCAACACGCGCATCGCCTACCAACAAATGCTGGGCTTCGGTGGCTCTGTCACCGACGCCTCCGGCATCGTTTTTTTCGGCCTCAGCGAAGCCGTCCAGGATCTTCTGATCAGGTCTTTCTAGGGACGCACCGTGGTGCTTTAGGATTAATTTGCCTGGTATATCTGTGATGTTCTTAATATGTTGCGGCTTGTTTATACGAGACACATTATGGTTAATTATGTGATAAATACTAATATTTTATAATTTACAGTCATAGTTATCGTTTGGTTTACATGGAAAATATTTATTGATCATGTTGTATAATCAATAAAGATGTGTTCACATATGGGACGAGAATTTGTTCTTCAAAATACACATCCTGCTCGTGCGTGGTATTACGTTACGGGGGTCGTTCAAATACCTACACATGGCGGCCTAACTTCGCGTCGCAGCCTATGTACACGCAGTGGCCGATTTCTTATCTGATATTGGTGTATTTAGCTTGCTAAGTCGTCAGTGATTGGCTGACATAATTACGAACACGGAAATAGTTTCGAAAGTAAGGTCCCAAAACGCCGTGTGACGCAGGTCCTACTTCGGTGCGGACGGCATCGCCTACAACATCGTCCGCACGCCTATCGGCGGGTCGGACTTCTCAAAGCGTCCGTATTCTTACGACGACCGCCCCGGCGACGTCGCGCTCGCCCACTTCGCCCTCGCACAGGAGGACCTCATGTACAAGGTGGCAGACCTCTCTTACCATCGCAGTTAACGTACGCTAATAATAAGGGCTTTGACTATCCAGCTATCACAGTCCAACTTCATTATTGTCTATAGGCCGGTTTTTTATCACCTCTGAACAAATCACAAGAAGTACAGGATCCGCCATATTTATGGCAAAGCATGTTTTTTGTTATTTCTCAATGAAACAAACAGGTGCATTGTTTTTTTATTGGATGACCTAGTAGCCAAGAATAACCATTTTTAATGACAGCCTTCAATCTACACTGGAAACACGCAGCATTTCTTGAGGGATCAAGTCCCATTCTCGTGTCAACTTAGACTTCAAACTATCCGAAGAATCATGAGGTGCAGACCTTACTTTCTAAAATAGCCCACGCAGAAAAGTCGAGAGGATTCAAATCAGGGCTTCTTGAGGGCCATTCATTTTTGCTAATGAACGCGTGGATGTGACCCTGAATCCAGTTTTGGGTCATGTTTGAGCCATGTGATGGGGCAGAGTCTTGTTGAAAACTCCATGGTGAGCCGTTGAAGTGTTTACGGGCCCAAGGTAACAACACAGCTTCCAAAATGTCCGAAATGTATTGCTGACTGTTCAATTTCACTCCTGAGGGGACAACACGAGTGGGGACCTCCCAGTGGCGGTTACCGCGGCCCAAACCATCACGGACATTTTGACGTCGTGTTGCTGTTCTGGTTGCCACAGATCCATCCCGACTCCAAACTCTGTCATTTCGACGGTTAACGCTTTGTTCAATGTCAAATTTTTTCTCGTCACTGAACACCAAGTTGGGCAGCGTGCCATCCTCAATGAGATCCAGAATGTGCTGGCATATTTCAAGCCTCATTCGTTCTTGACGGTCTGTTAGTTCATGCCTTGTTTGCATCTTGTAAGGGGAGGTTTTGAGGTCATCTTTGAGGACTCTACGCATTAATGTCTGACTGACTCCTACTTCTGCAGCCAATTTTGCAGCTGAGCGACGAGGGTTTCTCCTCAACTTCTCCCTTGTGTTTTTGACCAATTGTTTTGTTCGGACACTTCGTTTCCTTCCTTGATCAGGTCGATTCTATGTTTCACCAGTTTCCTTGAATTTTTTTATCACCTTCCACACAGTTTCACAACGAATTTGGAGCTTTTTTGCACTGACTGAATTACTCTTGCCCTTTTCATGAAGGGTTACAATTGCATTTCTATCTACTGCCATAAGTAATAGTAAATTTAAACACCTTAGACTTTTGCAATATAAAATAGATGAATTAATAGATGATATTAAGTTTCATTATAAAAGAAAAGTCTCCTAGAAACCAATTTATTTTTATATAGCAAACATCCGTTGCAATAAATATGGCGGACCCTGTACAAGAATCGGCAATTTGCCATAAAATATTTCTTCAACGCCGACACTTCTATGCTATTTAATACTTGACATATTAATGTTGGGCTATTGGTTCTTAATGATTCGGAGTATAATGATGACAATTGTAAGGGCAAATTATTCATTGGGAGAGGTAATTTTGCCGCTGTTATAAGGATAAAACCGTTTGTATTGTCGAAGCCGGCCTTGTCGATACTCGCTTTCTGTGCTCGAGGCAACATGCGTCTTATAATACGTTTGCTCAACGTGCGTCACTAACCTACCCACCACTCATGCACTCACTATTTAAACTCTCACGTAGTCGCGGCCTCAGTACACGTAAAGGCCTAAGTACACATAGCGTTCTAAGTACACAAAGTGGCATCAGTACACATAGCGGCATCAGTACACATAGCGGCATCAGTACACATAGCGGCCTCAGTATACATAGCGGCCTCAGTATACAAAGCGGCCTCAGTATACGTAGTGGCTTATACGTACAAGGAGTGGTCTACGTACCTACACGTAGTAGCTTAGATCGTGGCCTGAGCACACGTAGCGGCTCATTCCTTGTCTGTGATTAGTGGATTTATTCAAAAAGCCGTCAGTGATTGGCTGATGGAGTAACAAACTCTTTACTAGATTTGAGAGTACGGGCCTTCGACAGGTGCCGCTCCTGAAGCGGGCGCAGACGCTGGCCAAAGAGACCAGCGAGCTGAAGATCTTCGCATCGCCCTGGTCGCCCCCTGCCTGGATGAAGAACAACGGCCGCTTCAACGGCTCCGGCTCCCTCATTCCGGCCATGCGGCAGCCGTACGCCGATTACATAGTCAAGTCAGTTCTTGCATCGACGTCAAATTGGAGACAAAATATCACGAAACTCTCGCGTGCGCTCTTAACCCTCTACTGCTGTATTAGACTCTCTGGGAATATAAGTTTCAACTTAAATTATTCAACTTAAATTACCATACGTAAGCTATATAGTAGACTCCTGCGTTTGGTATTTTTTCTAATCCGAGACGAGACGAGGCGAGACAACAGGCTCTGTCCCGGTTCACAATAAAAACCGGGATAATTTTCAGCCTTCCGTTGGAATTCCGGGACGATACCGAGACGAGACGAGACGTCCCGGTTAAAATAGGTAGCTTAAAATTTCCCGGAATTTACAGACATTTTAACGAGGCATAACGAGACTAATCAATTATTGGTGTGGTGTAAACTTTGACTTACCGTCACACATTTATACAGAGCTGGGCAGCGCTACTTTGAAATGCAGCGGCCGCTACCGCTACATGCTCTAAATGTAGCGGGCGCTACCGCTACCGCTACAATGGCTTAAATGTAGCGCCGTTACCGCTACCGAAAATGTAGCGGCCGCTACATGTAGCGCGCTACTGCCCACCTCTGGTAACAACAAACATGTTGACACTATTAAAAGGCTGAGGTTGACAACATTACACCAAAATTGTTCGTAACGGTACAGTTTTATTCTGTAATTTATATTATGTATGTATCATGCTGATTTTTAAATAATATTTAATATTATTAAGTAAAATCTCTAAAGGCTTTATCTATAAATGTAGCGGTAGCGCTATAGCGGCAAAACCTCGTATCGCTACTTAAATATGTAGCGGGCGCTACCGCTACCGCTACAATTGCTTAAATGTAGCGCCGCTACCGCTAATGAAAATGTAGCGGCCGCTACATGTAGCGCGCCACTGCCCACCTCTGCATTTATATAATAACTTGAGACGTATCCTTTTACTATTCTGATTGGAGCTCGGCAATTGAAATTATTTTTTGCGACGAATACATGTTGTGGTTTAATATGGTAGTTAATCTAGACAGGCAAATTAAAATGGAAAACATTTTTTTTTTCAAAAATAGTGTTCTATGATGGTTTGGAGGAGGCCATACTAGCTGTAGCTGGTGACATCGGCTGACTGGACAGACTTTGATTTGCCTCCAGCTTAATCACAGAATCAGATTCATCGATCTTGCCTTAAGCAATCTCCTTCAACAAAAAGTTTTGAAAGAAAAATCAACAACATTTTAAAATACAACGAAATTCAAATTGGAAAAAATATAATAAACAACGTTAGACAAGCCCAAGTGTTTGATAACAATTCAGGAAACTGCGCAATTGTGAAGATTTCCTGCAGGCTTAGCACAAAATTTTACTAAAGGCAGAGATAATCTAATACTAGCTTTAGTATTATTAGGAATATCTTGCCAGGTCTCCATTCCACTCTCTACTAATTGGCCGACTAATCTAGGCACTGCGTCCCTACTCCCTATGCGCTTCCACGGCGCCTGAACTCGTTCCGAACGCGTAATAAACTCGACTCATATTCGTACGGTTCCCATAAGTGCCATCGAAGCCTTAGATAAGACTTAAGAGTTACATTTGTGACTCAATACTTAGCCATGCATACATCGACGGGTTTGCGGTGTTTGTCGGACCACTAATTAACTGCCATGTCAGTTAGTCAGACAAATTTTGCTAAAGACGTGCAACAAGGATAATTCCAGGCTTGAAGGGCAAGTCCTATGAAGAAAGATTGAAGATAATGAAGCTCCGATAATGAAGTTATCGACGTCTGCGTGGGGACCTCATTGAAGTATACAAGTATACTCATGGTCTATACAAGGTCCCCCGAAAGATTACTAGAATTTGAAACAAGAACCAACACCAGGGGCTACGGCTATAAGCTAAAAAAAACTTCGCTGCAACTATCCACGCGACAAAATTTCTTCTCGCTTCGAATCGCCGACATGTGGAACAGCCTCCCCGATGACATCGTTGGCGCTCCAAGTATGAACGCGTTCAAGAATAGACTAGATAAAGCCATGGAAAAATATATGTTCAGATTTGAAATGCCTAGCTCCTTATCGAACCCGGTGGAAGTCTAGTAGCTTCTTCAAACTAACGTCAGTCATGAAAAGATCCGGTCAAATGACACGATTTTAGATCTTCTGTGAACAAGGCACGAAATAAATCTGTCTGTCTCGTCCCGGTTCATAATTTACCGGGACACAAGTCTTAAAGTCCGGGACAGAAGTCTTGTCTCGGTTCATACGTTTATTCCGGGACAAATTTTACCCTCTGTCCCGTTATTTTTTTCCCGGAATTTTCTCGTCTCGTTTCGTCTGTCCCGGTTCATTTCGAGAAAATTATTTCGAGACGCAGGAGTCTACTATATAGTGTAGCAACCTGAGGACGTTTGTACGCAACAGAGAACATTTTAAAGTAACTTTCAACATAAATTATACGTAAACTAATGAGTGTAGCAACCTGAGGACGTTTGTACGCAACAGAGAACATTTTAAAGTTGACGTACATGGCGGCAACCATCAGTGCAAGTCATTTTGCGCTCACTAGAATGTATCATTTCTGGGTAGGCTAGTGACGATATTGCTATGGTTATTCGTGTCAGGCGGCAGAGGATTAAGCGCACTGCAGGTTATGCGATGCGTCTCGCAATCATCATCCGGTTAGCTGAAATAATTGGATAATAGCTGCATCATCCGGTTATTAACCTGGCTGTTACTTGAAATTCACGATAAAATGAATCTTCATGAATACAACATCACTTTGGTTCCCCTTGAAACATGTGTTGCTAGCTGTTATGTCGGTTTTGGAGCTTCATCACGATCCTATCCGGTATAGTTAATCCAAATTGAATGTATCGGTAATATCCTACTCGCGTCTTTATAAAAACTTGAATGCCTGCACCTAGTTACAGATGTTCTCTTTATTGCAAACAGAATTATTCTTGGTGCCGTGGACTTGCCGAACTTGATTCGTCCTTTGCACTCCCCCCACACTCAAGAAATGAGCCAAATATCCATGCACTTATTGCCCTCGTGTGGGTCATCCTCACCCATTTTGGCCCGTCAAAAAAACATATCAGTGCTACGTGTATCAAATGTATCTATTTGGACAATATGACCATCATTTTTTTCTGAAAGCAGGTTTCTGGACGAGTACTCCAGCCGTGGGCTGCGGATGTGGGGCATCACAACGCAGAATGAACCGCTAGCTGGCTTACAGGTCCGTCCTTATGCTCACTCTGGGGCTTAGAGTGAGAGGAGCACGCACTCTGGGTCGTAAAGTGAGAGAGGCAGGCTCTCTGGGTCGTAGAGTGAGAGAGGCAGGCTCTCTGGGTCGTAGAGTGAGAGAGGCAGGCACTCTGGGTCGTAGAGTGAGAGGGGCAGGCACTCTGGGTCGTAGAGTGAGAGAGGCAGGCACTCTGGGTCGTAGAGTGAGAGGGGCACGCACTCTGGGTCGTAGAGTGAGAGGGGCACGCACTCTGGGTCGTACAGTGAAAGACACTCACTCTGAACTCGGACAGTGAGATTTTTCGACCGTCCTCATTATCTTTATCAGTAGTTACTTATTCATTTATTCACTATAATAATCAAAGTAATTACTTTGATGGCTGGACGCTGCTCACGCGCACGAGATATCGAGTTGTTTTGGTACCGGATGATTAATATTATACTCTGTTATATTATTCATTGCGAACAAACGAGTTCGTCGCACCTCCATCGTCCCCCAACGCCCTCGTTGATGCTATTCACAATAAATAATAATTCAATAACTTCATCCTCAAACCCTAACGCTTCGACACGACGCTCCTCAACCCAGCTAATCATCTAACCCAAACGCCCCAATTGACGCTCTCCCACTCAGTAAATCATTCCATCCCCAACGCCCGTTGACATTCTTCCACCCAGTTAACCATTCCAACTCCAACGCCCGTTGACACTCTTCCACCCAGTTCACCATTCCAACCCCAACGCCCGTTGACACTCTTCCACCCAGTTAACCATTCCAACCCCAACGCCCGTTGACACTCTTCCACCCAGTTAACCATTCCAACCCCAACGCCCGTTGACACTCTTCCACCCAGTTAACCATTCCAACCCCAACGCCCGTTGACACTCTTCCACCCAGTCAACCATTCCAACCCCAACGCCCGTTGACACTCTTCCACCCAGTCAACCATTCCAACCCCAACGCCCGTTGATACTCTTCCACCCAGTTAACCATTACAACCCCAACGCCCGTTGACGCTATCCCACTCAGTTAACCATTTCAACCCCAACGCCCCAGCTGACGCGTTCACACTCAGTTAACCATTCTAACCCCAACGCTGCAGTTCGACGTGGCGTTCAACGCAATGGTGTTCACGGCGGAAGACATGCGCGCGTGGCTGGTGGAGAACCTGCTGCCCGCGCTGACCGCAGGAGGGCATGACGACCTCGAGCTCATCATCTCTGACCAGGGCAGGGACCATCTGCCTCACTACCCTGCCCAGGTGCGATGCCAACTAATCTCATGACCACACACAAAGTTCATATATATGACAATTGATATTTATAATTATTTGATATTCTTGGCATGACCCATATTCTTGAGCATAATAGTTGGGATGACTATTGCTTATCGTGGCCGTCTAACTCAGAGATCAAAAATATCATTAGTATGACTATTGATATACGTATCGTGGTCGGCCACAAGCCTGTACCATTGCAAGCTATTTGGCGATATCTCCAATATCATAAATAATTTCCATTTTCTATATTCGCTAAACACGTTCACATGATTTCGTTGCGTAAACCCTAAATTTATCAGAGTCTTCCCTGAATCACAAAACTTTGGTGATTTCCTGAGTTAAAATTTCGAGAACTTTTCACAATTTTTTCCAGATTTTAGTCTACCGAGCATTCAACTTTTTGATGGATCAAGTGTAATTTTGGGCTATTTCAATTCTAGATTCTGGCACACGATGAGCTGAGCCGCCGGGTATCAGGCATCGGCATTCACTGGTACCAGGACACGCCTGAAAACCTGCACCACTTGACGGAGACCCGCGCCGTCCTGCCAGACTACTTCACCCTACACACCGAGGCGTGCCTTGGCTACGACTCGCCTCCTACTGAGCGGGTCAAGCTCGGCGACTGGGGACGAGCCGAGCGCTACGCCAGCAGCATTATTGAGGTACTGGGCCCGACAACAGCGCTACGCCAGCAGCATTATTGAGGTACTGGCCCGACAACAGCGCTACGCCAGCAGCATTATTGAGGTACTGGCCCGACAACAGCGCTACGCCAGCAGCATTATTGAGGTACTGGCCCGACAACAGCGCTACGACAGCAGCATTATTGAGGTACTGGCCCGACAACAGCGCTACGCCAGCAACATTATTGAGGTACCAGTCTGATAACAGCGCTATGCCAGCAGCATTATTGAGGTACTGGGCACGGTAACAGCGCTATGGCAGCAGCATTATTGAGGTACTGGGCACCATTAAAGTGCAACCAAATTATTTAGAAGTGAATTTTTCCTTAATTTAAAAATTGTCTTCAAATTTAACCTCGAAATTCTCCAACCTGTTTATCGTGATTTTATCACAGACGAGCAACCGCGGCACCAGCGGCTGGGTGGACTGGAACCTGGCGTTGGACCTCCAGGGCGGCCCTAACTGGGCCAGCAACTTCGTGGACTCCCCCATTATTGTGGACACAGTGGGTGGTGGGGTGTGGTGGGTGAACGTGGGATGTGGTGGGTGGTTAAGATATCTGCTAACATGCAGACATCTGTGTACTGCACGCTGGCGCACTTCAGCTTGAGTATCTAATGCTCAATCCCATACACTGTTCGTAAAGTAACGAAAAATATTTCTCTGAATTAAAAGCGCTGTAGTGTCATGTCATCCCTGTAGTGTCATCCCTGAATTAAATAATAATAACCTGACATTGAACAACGTGACAGGAGCACGACAAGTTCTACAGGCAGCCCATGTACTACGCGCTGGGACACTTCAGCAAGTTCGTCGCGAGGGGCGCGCGCGCCGTGTACATGTCGCTGCTGCATGCGCCGCTACCTGGCGTCGCAGCGTCTGCATTCCTGAACCCGGACGGCGGGGTGGTGGTCGTGCTGCTCAACAGGTCCGCATGTGTTTGGTTTTTCCCAAGTTGCATGCATTTTCCCCGCTTTAGGTGAATTGTAATTGATAATTTTTAAATTAGGATCAAGGACTACTACACACAGGACATGCATAGCCTATGTCCAGCCTCTGCTAGCAGAGGCGATCGCCTACACTATGAAAATGCTGGTGTTTTAGTGGCATCAACAAATGATATGCCCATAATTGTTTCATACAATAGTATNGTCTATGGTTCTGACCAAGGACTACTACACACATTGTAATACTATTGTATGAAACAATTATGGGCATATCATTTGTTGATGCCACTAAAACAACAGCATTTTCATAGTGTAGGCGATCGCCTCTGCTAGCAGAGGCTGGACATAGGCTATGCATGTCCTGTGTGTAGTAGTCCTTGATTAGGATGCATAAAATTATGCATAAATAGTTGAAAGTCGTTTATTCGCCGCTTAATCTTATTTCTGAGCGACTTCACAATTGATTTGCGAGCTGGAGTGGTAAATTTTCTCTATTTATCATCGGAAAATCTATAAATTCTTTTTAATTTATTACTGAAAAAATTTCATCAATTATTGGAATAACATATCGACTTGTCCGATGGTAGGGAGAAATAGTGGACGGAAACGAGATTCGGTCGCAATTTGATTTCCGGTGGTTAACTTATTGATGAAAGACCATGCAGGTAGTTTTTATTCTTCAATATAGTTATTAAAGTTATCAAATTTTATAACGTAAATCGGTTTAAAGTGCCTCACATCACGTAGAAGATTTATCTTTCATGCTGCGTGTGACTTGATCCCGTTGTTATTGGCGTCTATTCCTTTCTTAAAATCTAATCTTTGTAATGAAGATCATCAAAGACCAGTGACTTATGTTCCTTTCCTGAATTTTGACTGTAATCAAAATTATCATTGTTATTTTATAGTCTTTTTCCCAAGTTAACAGGCTTAAAGATTTGTTTCATTTCGCAGTGAGGAAACAGAGACGACCGTGAGCCTCCAGCCTCGAATGTCCCAAGAGAAATACATAAACATCGTCCTGCCTGCCAAGTCCATTCAGACTGTCTTGTTCCGTGCAACTTGACGACTTGATGACGTGACTTGATGACGTGACTTGATGACGTGATTTGATGACGTGACTTGATGACGTGACTTGATGACGTGACTTGATGACGTGACTTGATGACGTGACTTGATGACGTGACTTGATGACGTGACTTGATAACGTGACTTGACCGTACTTGACGAGTGGACGAAACGGTTTAACAAGTTTGACCTGACAATTTGCTGCACAGTTTTGTCAAGTTTCTGGATAAAGCTCATTATCCTCAGTCTTTTTCAACCTTTATAATTTATTCGGTTTACGCAGATGTCGGATACCAATGTTCCATAATTCTCGTACTTGTGAAGCTATAGATGTTATCAATAGTATGAATCAAAGAATAAAAACTGAGTAAATTTCGATTGAAAAAAAATATACTAAAATTCGTGGCGGATATCATTGCCCCATAACACTGATGTTACCTGGAAGCAGGAGACTTTGAAACGAAATTTGCATTAGTAATAGCTGCTAGGCTGCGCCGACCATGCGATGAACTAAATGCAACCTGAACAGACGTCTCTACTCCACTAGTCCACTACCTTGTTCGACTATACAATCGTCAGCTATAGAAAGATCGGGTTCCAAAGGCCGGATCCCTTGTGAAACAAGTCACGAAAAGTTCAAGAATCGGCAACAGGCCATGGGCCTATTTCTTCAACGCCGACACTTCTATTCTATAATTATCGGACGTATTGATAGGACATCTATGTTATGATAGTCTGCAACGGTGTGCCAGACTGAATCCTTTTCGGTAAGATTACTGATTACGGTTTATTGTGAACAGATGAGTATTGTGAACAGATGAGTATTCCACCAGATTGCAGTAGATTCTATTGTGATCAGGAAATCGGTTAGAAAACGACAGTGCTTTCGTCCTTCAGTTCATCAAAATAGTGAATTTTTCGCCTAAAACTTTAAATAATATTCTCAGGGACTTGAAGGCTGGAAAAAAGAATTGAAGTTATTTATATTGTATTGAGGCCAAGTGGTACCTAAAACTACCAACTGTATACGTACAAACATAAATGCTTTATGGGTACGACCAATTAATATATGAATATGATCGTACCATAGACCGATCAGATTTATTTTTTATACCAATACCAGGACCCGTGTTGCAAAGACAGTCAAGGATGCTCACCGGCTCAAGCTGAACAGCGTCCGAACGGTTTGACAATTTCCACGCAATTTTAACACTTGCGTTGAAATTTATCTTTCTTCACAATGAATCAATTTAACGAATCTGGGATTCTCACAAGTTTGCAATTTTCGAAAAAAATATCTACAAATTAGTTTCAAGAAATTACACACTCTGTTCCTGAAAATCGCTTTTTAAATATCGAAGCAAAACACAATAGAGATTTTTCTGAAGAATCTCTTACTTATCACAGATGTCATAAATTTGCAAAATTCCAAACAGAGAGTCCTCGCGAGGGATCCTGATCACAAGTAATTATAGTAATTCTTATAATCAAACAAGTCAAACTGATGTAAAATCTCTGTAGGAGACTCTACAAAATCGATTGATGAACCAAGTTTAAAATAGTTATCGGCACCAGCGAAGAAGATTTTTAAAGACCGTTGAAAACCTGCTCTATGCGCCCAAAAACCTAATTCACATAAATCATTAAAATTTAACTGATCGTTATAACATCCATTCTTATACATAAAAACTCACCAACTCTCACGTATGTGTGAGTCGTATGAGAACTGAGCACACTCAGGGTACAATGGAAAAGTGATGAATGGTTGATGACAGTACTGTTGATAAAGTGGTGTACCCGTGTATGAGAGGACGGGGGTGAATGGATTGCAGTAATGGGGGCAAGACAGCACAAGTGACGGCTGACGTGGCGAAGAGTCTGAGGGGAAAGCGAGCCTTGGAGAAGGAATGGATGATGCAAGGAAGAGGAAGTAGGGGTGTCCCAAAGGTCGTTAAGGAATAAATCAACAGCGTATTAGTATTAAGAGAAGTGCAGTAGGTATGTTACTACTATAAGCTTCCTTTATGCAATATAAATGTCGAAATTGCAATCCAAATAATAGGATATAACAATATTCTATTGCTAATTCTGATTATTTCCTACATAAATTGAATTTCATCTGCAGTCATCTTGCCCTTGATAAATTGATACTATCCATCTCTGCCTTCTGACCGGTTTCTAGGTATCTCCCCTCTCCAACCTTGCTTTCTCTCTCATCACCTGCACCAATATTAAATGAGTACGGCTAGCAAAGCAGCTAGCTGTTAAGAAGGTCTGAGTCTAAATGTTCTTTCAGGATCACAATGTCTCACAGATATACGGAGAAATTATGGAGTCATACGGATATACGGAGAATCGACCGGCATTTCTCTGGCCAATTGTTAAATTTGCATTCACCAAGATCCGTATACGTATAGCCGTATAACTCGCGAACGAAGGAAAAATCGAAAAAATTGTCACGAGCTAAACATCACCGTTGGGAGGTTAGGTATTCTTATGCAAAGTTTGTCCAAATTTGTTCAGTATGTTAGAAGAAATTTCTTGTTCACTGCGAATTTAAGCACATATTGCAGTTTAAATGGGATGGAGGGGAGAGGACGCGGGTGCCTGAGTTGCTCGACTGTTAACAACAGGAAGAGGACAGTTGGTTGTTCCTCGTGTGAGGGATGTTACCATCTCTCATGCGTAGGGCTGACTAGAGCGCAGGCAGACGCCTTCGGGCGTTGGCTGTGCCCGGGTTGCTTGGGTAGAGCCAGTGTCGGTATAGTAGAAAGACCCGTAGATATCGACTTATTGGGGTATGTTTCTCGGTATTGTGCCAATGGTAGAGCACTGAAAAGGGTGCCCCGGGGAGCTGTGGTCTGCGCAGCGGATGCTCTGCAGAAACTGCTGGAAGCGGCGTTAAGTGAAGACAGTACTCCATTAGCGTGGGGTAGATTGCTGTCATTTGGGTGGATCGCGCTGCGGCAGCCGGAGAGCAGCGGTTCGTCTCACTCACTAACCACAGTAGTCAAGAGGCAGATTCGAGCATTTATTGAATCTGATCATCTGGTGGCTCCGGAAGAAAGAGTGAGGCGGGAGTCGGGAAACGGAGGTCAAGAGCTCGGAAGGCGAGTGGCCAGCAGGCTGGCCGATGGTGACATAAGGGGGGCTGTGCGTATGCTGGCATCATCGGATGATATTGCCCCGAGGGACGATAGAACCCGAGAAGTGCTCCGGCAGAAGCATCCTCCTGCACCTGAGGACCTATCTCTCCCTGAACCTGCGGGAGGGGACTACCCACCTCCTTCTATCGTGGGGGAAGGGGATGTGAGGAAAGCCATCGCTTCCTTCAGGCCGGGTTCGGCGGGTGGCCCGGACGGGCTCCGCCCGGGTCATCTGGTGGCCCTGATTTCGCGGAAGGCGGGTGAGGCGGGCGCGAGGCTACTGGCCTCCCTTACCGGGTTCGTCAACCTGGTGATTGGAGGGCGGGTTCCTGAGTTTGCAAGACCGGTGTTCTATGGAGCCACTGTGCGCCCTACGGAAAAAAAGACGGGGGTATTCGCCCCGTAGCGGTTGGGAACACCTTGCGTCGCTTGGCTACCAAGGTTGGAGCATGGCCATTGTCTCCGTTAATAGGGGAAGCACTTCGGCCGGTCCAATTGGGGTTCTCCACAAGGGGTGGGTGCGAGGCTGCTGCTCATACAGCCCATGCGTACCTCGGGCGTGCCTCGGGCCGGAGAGTGTTTTTCAAGGTTGACATGGCGAATGCATTCAACAGCCTGCGACGTGACGTGTTCCTTCTCAGTGACCCTCGGAGTCGGTGTAGGCCACCATCAGAGGCGTTAAGGTCGGGGCCCTGATCATTGACATGAAACCATTCCCTGTTTTTAATTAATAAAATCAATTCCTTTTTTTTTGTTGGAATGGTGAGTGTGGGAATCACGAATGAGGGGAAAAGGAAAAAACTCGCGAACGAAGGCAACATGTAAAAAACTTTGTTCAAATCCGTTCAGTACTCTGGAAGAAATGTCTTGTTCACTGCGAATTTTGGCACGTATCGCCATAGAACTCACGAATGGAGGCAAAACTCGAAAAAATTTTTACCACCTAAACATCACCGTTAGGTGATGTTCCTTCCATCGAGCTACCATCCATTACTTTGGGAGATATTCCTTGTTCACTGAATTTGGGGAGTGGCCTTGAGACCGGCCGCAGGTCCGGCCGTAAATTTGTCCGAGATATGGTTTATAAAAGGCCCCTGAAGGATTACTAGAATTTGAAACAAGAACCAACACCAGGGGCCGCGGCTATAAATTAAAAAAAACTGCGTCGTAACTCATCTATGCAACAACATTTCTTCTCGTTTCGAGTCATCGACGTATGGAACAGCCTCCCTGATAACATGGAACGGGCAGGGTGGCCCAATGGTTACAGTTCAGAGTACCAAGATTGGCGCAGAGAGGCGCGGGTTCGATCCCAGCTCTGCGCGCCAGTTTCTGGTCAGAATCGTCAAGGCGGCCAGGCAGTTAATTAAGCACAGCAGAATTTTAATCAGTGAGTTGTGAGTTCGAGACCGCAACAAGCTGTGGACGTTCTGCGATGTTAAGAATCGGCGACAGGCCTATGGCCTAATAAACGCCGAAACCGCTATTATTATTATTATTATTATTATTATTATTATAACCTCGCTGACGCTCCGAGTATGAACGTCTTCAAGAACAGACTTGGCGAAGCTATACAGGGGCATTTGTTTTGTCTTGAAATGTCTAGCACCTTACGAGCCTTGCAATAAGTCCAGCAGCTATCACAATCAATCGCCAGTTATATAAAGATCGGGTTCAGAAGGCCGGACCCCTTGTGGAATCAAGTCACGATAAGTAAAAGAATCGGCAACAGGCCATGGGCCTATTTCTTCAGCGCCAAAACCGATTCGACACCCTTTCTTCAGCGCCAAACAAATAACAAATGGCAACCCTGATTAGCAATGGTAATAATCCCATGAAATTTTATTTTGATTAATTGTTAGAATTTCAAATTCTATGTAGAATTCTTTGAATACAATATAAAATGGTCA